AACAAAATTTAGAATCGCCCCAGCTTCTGGTAATCCAAATCAGAAGCTGCCGCGTCGGTAAATTTTCACTGGGAAGAACTCCTACCCTAACAAAATTTAAAGTCGCCCCAGCTTCTGGTAATCCAAATCAGAAGCTGCCGCGACTGTAAGTTTTCCCTGGGTTGTTACGCTGACAGGAGGACGGCGGTGTTCGTCGCACAAAATTTGCGGGTCAAAATCCCGGAGTTGATCTTGGATCTCTGGGACCTGGACGGCCACGACGATGACAACGACAGCGACGTGGAGGTGAGCGTTGAAAATTTGTATGTGAACGGAAAAAACATGAACGGGCCATATTTTACAAATTATTTGGATAATTTGGCCCGTTGTGGATCAAATTATACAAAAAATGATATTTTTTGTTGTGGGTGAGGATGGACGTAGCACTGATACGCAATTTTGCCGGACCAAACTGGCTCAGGATGACACAAGAGACACAGGAGCAAAAAAATAATTGTTATACATTAAATAATATTTATAGTATAAATGCTGATAACATTTTTCATATAGGCTTCATTTAAGCTCATTTAAAACAAGCAAAATAATCAGATCATAATCGTCAAGTAATTGACTGTATTTAACAAGCCGATATTTGCATACAAGATCAAACACCCAATCGCAGCCGCTGATATTTTCATGTGATTACAAAAATATTTTGCAGCTACGTGTAATGCAATGACATAAAAAATTTAAATATTATCAATAGTAAATAACGCAATTTAAAAACATATATTCACATCACATGACCGGATTACATTCTACTTAACATGCAATTGATTATCAAGAATTTAGACTATCGAATGATAAAATATCTGAACAATGAAGATTCAAGAACAAGAGTCATGTGGGTGACAGTTGTTCCAATTGGTTATGAATAATTTAATCTATAGAATATCTGAACAATGAAAATTCAAGAACAAGAGGCATGTGGGCGTCAGTTGTTCCAATTGGTTATCAAGAATTTAAACTATAGAAAATCCGTACAATGAAGATTCAAGAACAAAAGGCACATATGGCTGTCAGTTGTTCCAATTGGTAATCAAGAATTTAAACTATAGAATATCTGAACATTGACGATTCAAGTTTATCAAGAATTTAAACTATAGAATATCCGTACAATGAAGATTCAAGAACAAACGGCACATGTGGGTATCAGTTGTTCCTTTACTTACAGGAGTTACAAGAGAAGTGTAAGCTTGGCTCAGGAGTGACAAGAGTTCGGCCGGCGAGCGCTGACGACAGGCTCTTCGTGAGCACCGTGACCGACACCTACCAGCGCGCGGCCGGGCAGCAACAGCTTCGTGAGGTTACAAATAGAATAGAATAGAATAAAATAGAATAGAACAGAATAGGATAGAATATAATGGAATAGAATAGAATAGAATAGAATGGAATATAATATAATATAATAGAATATAATGGAATAGAATAGAATGGAATGGAATAGAATAGAATAGAATAGAATAGAATAGAATAGAATAGAATAGAATAGAATAGAATAGAAGTGTCGGCATTGAAGAAATAGGCCCATGGCCTGTTTCCGATTCTTGAATTTTTCGTGACTTGATTCACAAGGGATCCGGCCTTTGGAGCCCGATCTTTCCATAGCTGCCGATTGATTTAGATAGCTGCTGGACTTATTGCCTGGTCATGGACGCATATCATCGAGGAGCCAAGAATCATCGTTATCTGTATCATTTTACTTAAAGATTTAAATGTTATTTGACGTTCAAAATAATTGGAACATAAATTAAAATCCTTATAAATTTCAAAGTCTTGCGGTCTCGATTACAAAAATATAATCTCGAAAAAAGTAATCATCTGCACAGGTTCAAGGTTTGATTATCTGTTAGTTTTTTTTATATATGTAATTATAATGCATAAATTATTTCTGTATCAACGAATGATTCAAGACTCAGTTGTTTACTGCAGATCCGTTCCAGCGTCGTACGTGCGACGCCCTGGAAAAGATGCTCAAGATCATGCTGAGGGCGGAGGCAGCTCGCCTTCGAGAGAAAAGAACCAACGTCAGACAGGAAGAATGGAAATTTGTTGCTCGGGTTACCGACAGATTTTTGTTCATTGCATTCTTCTTGACAGCGTTCTTTTTCAACGTAATAATCCTGACGAGCTCGCCTTACTCGGAGAAGTTCGAGTACTGTCCTTATGGCCGCAACAGCACTGATTGCAATGACTTGACAGACGAACAACGGTGGCAGTTGGTATACCAAATGTCCCATAACTCTGCTGGTATCCAGAACGATGCGCACGGAGCAAGTGACAAGGAATTCAATGAAAATGTTCATAAGGGAAATAATGGAAGTGGCGGTGGATGTAAAGATGTTAGCTGCTTCGACGACCACAGTGGTGAATCAAAGAACACTTTTCATTCGAGTGGTGAAAGTGGAACAGGAAATAACAATAGACGTAAAGGAACTGGTCTGGAAGGTTGCGAAGTCAGTGGCGGAAGCTGTTACGATGACATTGGCGCTGATGGAGGAAGTGATGGAGGTGGACATTAAAAATGTTAATCTTCATCCGGAGAATTGGGAAAAATTTATTTTCCTGTCGTTAGTAAAAATTCGTTAATGTTCAAATGGAAATTACCATGATGAATTTTAAAAAATATCCTCTTATATTGGGAGCAGTACATTCGTATCGTCAGTTAACACCATGACACTAGTCTAAGTTTATATTAAAATAAATGTAACAAATATTTTATAGTTAGTAAGGATCCGTTAATATTCAAATAGAAATAAACATAATGAACTTTAAAAATATCGTGTTATATTGGGAGCAGCACATTCGTCTTCGTGAAATAGTAACACCATGACACTAATACGAGTTTATATTAAAATAAGTGCAACAAACATATTTACAATAATAGAAGGAATAATTATTGTAAGTAATTTCTAGGCACTCCAGATGAGGTCTCGCACTCCAGATGAGGTCTCGCACTCCAGATGAGGTCTCGCACTCCAGATGAGGTCTCGCACTCCAGATGAGGTCTCGCACGCCAGATGAGGTCTCGCACGTTCCCTATGGAAAGTTGAACACGCAACACACCGGTTTCAGTGTATCAATTTTATGTTTTTTAGCGTATTATCTCATTTTTGGAAAAAAGGCGCTATTGTGCTCGTCATTTCCGTCCATCCATCCGTCTGTCTGTCCGTCTGTCCGTCCGTCCGTGACTTCACGCTTTCGTCGATGAGAAAAAGCGCTTTCCGTCACTCACTGCAGTAAGCACTGAGTTATATTTTTGTATAGCTCTATTTGATGAGTTATACACATAAACATATAAATAGAGAGAATTAAATTGAAAGTGGACTTCACTTGCAAAGCTTTGTCTAAGGAGCATATTTCTGCTGCTAGGAATGTCTTTAAAATTTACAATGCTCATACATCTCTGATACTCTTCTCTATTTGATACTTGGTCTTTTTGAAATGAAAACGTTTTCTAATTAGGCGTTAAAATTATTATTGATAGATTTTAGATTTTCTTCTAGTTGATGTATAATCTCATTTACCGTTGAAATTTAGAGAAGATATTGTTACAGTTTGCTACTGACGTAATTTTTCTTCCTCCACCAGATCTGTTAGAACGTTAACGTCACTTTCTCCAGATGTTGGAAAAATTTAGCCGTGCAGGAATCAGTGTTTTGTAATAATGTTTAATATAGTAAATGATTCAAATTATATTCTTTTAACTACTGTACACGTTTTGAACAGCCTTAAAGGAGCCAGTGGTCTATCCGTCGAACTTAGATTTAAATCTGATTAGGAAGAAGTATCTGATAATCGGAATCTCGGCTAGATGGTCGTTAAAATAATATACATTTCCAGGAGAGCATTCTCGACGAATTTATATTAATAATACATTTCTACAAGAATTCGCCTTTTCAGTTGGTCGAGAGTATTCTTCATTCGACGAATTTATATTAATAATACTATTCTACAAGAGTTCGCACTTTCATCTAGTCATTATACTAACTTGTTTGTTTATCGCCTTTTCTTCGAAATAAATTTCGATAATCTAGCCGTGTTAATATTTTCTTGCCATATGCGTTGGGTAAATCGGAAATTAAATAAGAAACTCATTAAATGTGCAAATCGTATGTCAGTTCGAATTTCCTTCTCCTGGATAATCAACATCGGAAAGTTGTTACAAGAATGTTGGGACTATCAACAAATGGCGTTGCGTCTCTAATCTCACGAAGAAGACCGTAAAGTTTCCGATCTTATATGTTAATCTCCTGTTTACTTTAGTCCTGGAGGGAAAAAAATGTTTTCCAAACTTCCACTGTCAAAAGCATCATTTAATATCTTTCGTACTGGCGTTCAACTGCTGTGGAACGGGAAAAATAGCAATTGAAAGCTTCACTTCTAACTTCTGTCGAAAAAAAAGCTCGGTATACATAATTTATTAGATTTGTACTCTGTCCTCAACACCTAATCAAATAGTTTATCTTCGCAATTGTGCAGCAGTACAAATTTTCAAGTACAAGTTTTTTTTCTCCAGAAACCTCATGTAACAACCCCATGGGCGATAGTCGTTTTGAACATTCAAGAACATGAAGAAAATGGGAGTTACACAACCAGATATTTCATACTATATGAAAGGTTTCATTCCGACAGGTTTCATGTACATTAGGTCCGACAGTGATTTAATTTCAGTACGGTCCGTATGTAAACACTACCAACGCCAGTCGAACTAAATTCGAACCAGTCGGTCACCCAACTTTCCACAATCGATCGGATTTCTATCCAACGAATGTATTTGCAAACTAAAGTATTTCCACATATTTAATCGTTTCAATCTCAATCCAAATTCGAGCTCAAATGCTATGATACGTGTTCCTTTACTAAAAAAAGAATATTCGAAAGATATATTACAATTATAAAGCGAGTCTTCAGTCGCGTTTAATAATTACATCTGTCACTTCCTATCAAATTGGTTCTTAATCTTTCATTGTACGACTCAAATGAAACACAAATCAACCGGAGTAAAATGAATTAAATGTACCCGCACGGGCACAGTAGTCCCATTGACACTACAGGTACAGGCGCGACAGCAAGCATCTTTTAGTTCTAGTTTCTGGTGCCGAAGGCAGGGAGGGTAGGGCGGCCAGGAGCTCTGCCGCCTCTACGGGACTGTCAGACAGTGAGGAGACATTGTGGGACGTGGGGAAGGAGGGGCAGGCGAAGAGATGCTGGACGGACTGGAGGGAATCCCCACACTCGGAGCAGGAGGCACTGGGGAACCGACCGACCCTAAAAGTGTAGGACGCCAGGGAACTACAGTAGCCCGAACGGAGCTGGGATAGCGCCGATCGATAGGCGCTGGGCAGCGAGGCCTTTTCTGATGCAATCGGTGGTGGTGGGGTCGCAAGAATAGCGTTGTTCTCGGCGGTCGCCGCAACGTGGGAGCGCTTAGCCTCTCCGCAGGCGTCGGCGGGCATGATGCCGTTCATCAGAAAGGGCGCAACAAGGTGGCCCAATCTGGACATAAGAAGGCTTTCATGGGACGGTCCCCGAGGGCAGCAGATACAGTGTAGAATGGAGTATGGGTAGGCTGGAGGCCGGGCGCTGGCGAGAAGCTGTGCGTAAGCCAGGTCTAGGTGAGCGAGCAGAGGAAGGACGCCAGTTTAATTGTGGAGATGGGCGATCGGGGCCATTTTGAGGCAGCCGGTGGCCAATCTCAAAGCCGTGTTTTGGATAGTTTGGAGGCTTGTTATTGCGGTGCGTGATGCGACAAGGTACCAGACGGGACAGCGTAGTTGAGGATTGGGCGCACGATTGTGGTGATGATGTCCTCCTTGGAGAAATCTCAGTTAGTGCCAGCCAGGGGTCTTAGGTAGAGAGCATGTCGCTTTAGTGGCTATGGCTCCGATGTGAGGTGAAAACGTGTAATGGGTGTCCCAAGTGACGCATGGGATTTTGGAGCAAGAGGTAACATGCGGCAAGTAAGCAATAGCAGATTTTTGGACCTGGCCTAAATCTCGGTAAGCCAGCCAGTGCGCATAGCACGCTTAACAGCAAACATATTGAGCCGCCTCACTGACATCCACATGTCACGAGAGAGGCTAATAACACTTAAGGACCGTAACTTGGCTTAGCGGTTAAAAAAACACATTTTGAATGGATAAGGTCCATAAAATAATATATATTTAGGTTGCCGAAAGTAACACCTGACGAACCGGCAATAGTCGGAGCTGAATTGCAATTCAAAGTCGACTGAAATTTATGTTTTATTAGGTGCTATTAACGACCTTGTTGATGAAATCTTTTAAAAAGGCCGGAATATTTTTTTAAAATCTCGTCTCACAACTAAAATGGACAGCTACAAGAGGCTAAATCTGTGCAAAGAATGTGAATTTTTTTATATACCACAGATTTTACTTTTCTTCACAGAAACTAAGGTTTGATTCATTGAAAACCTTAAACTTTCTTTTGTTAAAAATGAAGTAAAGCTTCATGCAAAAAATATATATCTTTTCTTAAAATTGCCACTTTTTCAGGCTACTCATTAAAGAGATTGAATCTAGTCCAAAGTGAACATGACATTCATAATATTGAGTGGGTTGATGATTCGAGACTTCTCAGTAAAATCAATGATGCTTTCTCCCTCTTCGAGTAGTTTTCGGCCTCGCCCCAGTAGCCCCCCATGGTACTAAACTCACTTCCTCGTCAGGGTTTAGTTTTGGTGGAGGAGGAGGACGGTTCCTTCGTGGGTTGGACTCATCGGCTATAGGATAACTTGAACTATCCGTAGTAGATGTTGTACTGTCTCTACTAGCTGATGAATTTCTACTACGAGATTTGTCAGTGCGACGTTGTTCATTCGCCCGCTTCTTTTCTTCATCGATCCTGTTCAAAAAGTTGTCGATTTTCATGTGCTCTGGGCCTACAAGTCCTTCCTCTAAAGCAGAGACATCAGCTATATCGTTCCAGCCATTATTACGGCTTCGTGGCCAGGTCTGGCCCTTTTTAAATCTCGACCTCCTATCTCTTGAAAGTGTATCTTGACTAGAAAACGATGCTAATTCTTCGACGCTACCAAGTGCAGCAGCTGCTCCATCCGTACTGCGAGCTTCATCGAGCGCACTACCAGAGCAATTCTCTGAGATTAGCGCATCTTCCTCCTGATCTTTCGTTTCAGTAGGAGTGCGAGGTTCACTGGGCGAAGAGAGTTGTTCAGTGCTGGTTTCAACATCGGCCGCGGCTAGAGCACGCTGTCGTTCTCTTTCGTCCGGAATTTTCTTGGGAGGTGGGGCGTCATCAAGGTATCGAGGAACGTATGTAGGAACCAGGAACAGCAGGTACACACAAGTAGAGCAATAACAGAACGCGAGGAGCACCCAACGGATATTCCTGGGTTCCTCTTTCGTGCCTGCGAAAGAGACTGAGTAAAACTTTTGCCACGTTCTTCGGCTTACTATGAAAAACTTGGAAATACTCTTTTAATTTTTAATTCAGATTCAGATATTTACATAGTGAATCAAGATACCACTCTACACCAATCAAACGATATTGTACTCCATAAAACAGTGGTACACTAACCAGGGTGCATGACGACGTCAACGACAAGATAAATTGCGAAGGCAATGGTAGCCGCTGTAAGAAAACTTAGGAAACCTTTACGAATTTTACTCTTGACGCTCATGCTGTCCACGTTCGGTACCCGTTTAATCAAATATATATACTCTGAAATTCTTCAGGAAAGTAATCAGCCATAGAATAATGCTTAACGTATTTCAGAGGTAGGGAGTTTAAAAAAACGTGCAATGCTAAATAAATAATGCAGAACTCAGGTCAAATGTACGAATGGAAAAAGTTCCATTCAATTAGATTGAATTAACGAGGATATCAAAGTTAAATTCGGTACATAATTATCGTCATTAGATTTAAAATTCAGCTCTATGGCACAAAAAATCATCATCAGCTTCGTATCATCATTCAAGAATGCATAATTTATTCTAATTAGCTTTAAGAAGCGAAAGAAGTTCGTCAATGCTGTCAATGATAACTCAGAGATATTCTTAAATTCTCAATATCTTTTTTATTCAACAATAGCTCGGGTAGCCCGGGGAACGCAATTAGTCCCCTAGATGTTTGTATAAATCGTCATCCCCCAGGGGCTCAAGATACTCTTTGGGTTAGGCTACTCAGTGAGTTACGCTACACGGTGGCTGAAAGATTTGCTGAGTTTTTTATGCCATAGGTCAAAAAAATTTATTCGATATTCAAACCAACATGGTTCCTGGAAGCCCGAAACGTGGCCACTACAGTTGTAAAGAAATATTTTAATTAGTGTCAGTTATTTAAATTACTTCCAGTTAACTGCTCGTTCCTGTCAGTAGCCGAGCGAGTTTTAATCATCGGAGACGCTACAGCTTTTCCGAAATTCTTTTATTTATCCACAGCAGCTTGTGGGGTAAATTTGTGGATTTGGTCAACACCCGAGAAATTCTTGACCTCCTCAGATGAGCCGCAGACAATTTCAGGAAATGACAAAGATGACAGAGCTGGTGAAGTCCGATTATCGATTCCATCTTGACTTAGGCTTGAATTTTGCCTGGGATGGTCTTCAGTGAGGTCCGGAACCATTCCTTCTCTTCCTTCCAATTGTGGCGTGTGTGAGATTTGCAAGGACTCGTAAGGAGGAGGCGCACTTTCTACCGAAGAAGCCCTACGTAAGGACCTTAAGCTGAGGTCGTCAAAAGATGGAGGAAGAATCACCCGAGCATAAGCCTCGTACAGTTGCTGCTTTTCATCTTCCTTCAACTTTCCCGTGTTATTTGCCATTGCAACGGAGATCATGACGCACATTATGAGAAAAAAAGCGCTGACGTACTTCGTACCGCTTTCGATCACTCGAGCGTCTGCCAGAAAAGAAGTAAGAGACTATATGTATGTACGATAATAACTAAAATGGGAAACTTGTTTAAGACGTCAAAACAACTGAGCGCATGGGCAGAATGCCCATGCGCCCAAGTATAAAATGCAACAATTTGATATTCACATTAATTAAACACTCACACCAACAGTTCTCAACGTTGTACCGTCATTTCGTAGAGTATCGATGGTGATGTAAACAAGGCCGGAGAGGGCGAGTCCCGCGACGATTACACACGCGAACCAAGTCACTGTGCGCCTGGCGGTAGATACCATGACCAAAAAACTTTGTACTTCTGTTGATAAATTTGACCAGTGGAAGGTATGTTTATCACACTTTCACCAATTAAGTTCACTGTACGAATCAGTTAAATCCTTTCTGCAGATTATTGTGAAGAAGATTGGATTATTAGTATTATAGTGAACTGTAAATCGTAGGCTCGGCCAAAGAAAGATATTAAGATTTCAAGGGTCCATTCAAAGACGTCTGTCAACCATTTCGCTTCCTGGAAAGAAACTATCATTAACTATTTCCATTCAATACTTGCAAAAATCAACAAGAGCATCAATCAGTTCAGTTGTTTTGTAAAGTCAATTCAGGGGAAAAAATAACTGAAATTAAACCATTCGACTGAAGTTAGATCTCTTAATGGACCTCCTGCGATCAAAACTCTATTCCAATTCCTCGGAAAAGCTCCTTGAAACGTAACTGTTGAAACTGTATTTACAAAGTATAATGAAATGTACCCTAGGGATCGCCTATCTGTCTAATTATTGGAGATTTGCAAAAGAAATACGTTTTTCCTACAAGACTGTTCCTGTCATAAATCAATCGCACGCACGGAAGCAGTCCGATGGTATAAGTGCAGTAGTTTCTACAAATAAGGCCCGCAGGCAACATCAGCCGTGGTGCTTGCTGCCGAACTTTCGGGACCAGAAGATGACACGGAATGCACAGGCGGAAGAAATTTTTCATACCTATCTTGGATAAATGCCTGATAATCTGTGTTGAGCAGATAAAAAAAAGCCCCCCAGCACAGCGCGAAGGTGGGAGGCAGAGGCTTCCCTAGGCAACAAACTTCAACTGAAACAAGGTCTTCCAGAACCTTAAGCTGGCATGGTTATTGCTTGAAAACGAACCCCGGAAAAATCTATTACAATAATCACGAACATTGTCCAAGCATAATCGTACACTGAAAAACGATGAAAGGCTTCAAATTCAGAAACAAATCTCAACAGAAAGTTAATATGAATCATTCAAACTAATAACATTTCAGTGAAATTTAGCCATACTGCAAAAACTCATCTGTCAAAATTACTAGAGACATCATTTGATGCTAGGAACTAGATCTAACGGAATAAATAATTGAAAGAATCGAACTGATGAATAAAATCAATCTGCTTTCACATTGTTTGAAGTGAAACTGACTTGATTTTGAGCTGGTCAGTACCTAAGTAAACAACAGAATAGGAGTTCTATTTGCATAGTTTTCGATTTTTGAAGAGTAAATTTAAATGACTAGCAGGTGCTAAGTCTAAATAAAAGAAACTTCAAGATATCTTAAAGAAAACGACCAATGCTTGAAAAATAGACAACGAGTAGTCAATTTTCCGCACATGAACCCGCTTTTCATATCTTCAAGCCTAAGACCAGCTCATTCATGTACTCTTAGATCATTTGTATCGATACCGCTGGGAACAAGTAAAAACTGAAATAATTCGGTCCCGCGAGCTGTATAGTGTATACGCTCTGCCACAAAAACGCTTTGGAGGCCATGCATGGGAAGACGAGTTACCAGAATTTCAAATTTCTTATGGGACCGAAAACTTTTCACGAGAAAAGGCAAGGGTAGGCCTAGTAGGCTTGATCGAACTTTAGCGTAATGGAAGTGCAGCAATTGCTACGCATGGTGGCGACTTAAATTAGGCATGTCTGGAGATAGCTATGACCCGCAGAAGCAGCGATTAAGTTAGTTTGTATGATCTCCAGTATTTCCTGTAGTGTAGTAGGCCTAACTAACTGATCATCTTGAAATTAAAAGTTTCTGTTCGCATATCTGGTAGTTCAAAACACATCAATATTCACTACTGCACATGTAATTCGGGCCATCGTAATATATTTTTTGTACACATTTACCACCTAAGGATGAATACGGAAGCACAGCCGTTGGCCACCAATCCAGTCAACTAGCCTCGTCCGTAGCCAAGGATCAGGCCAAACGTGCACCACAGCTAGCTACACTTAACTGTAGCTAGTGCAAGTACAACTCCCAAGAAGCACTACAAGCCACACCAGTTTCGAAAACTGGCGTAAAGCCTCGAAAACTGGCGTGAAGCCTCGCAAACTGGCGTAAAGCCATAGCGCCGTGTGTCCGCAGCCACCGCTCAAGTCAGTTTAGTCTTCATAAAGGCTAACACCCCAGCCCAGCATGTTCCTACCTCCACAACTACGCAGTTTCTCCACCTATCGGCAACGACAGACTACAGGTCCTACTAGCCCCGCTTCTCCACCTTGATGTAGCCAGTGAAGTTAGGTTAGGTCCAGAAAGGTTTTTTGGGTGGGGATCGAACTCCTGAGAGTGAGGGTAAGTGTGGAGGTAGGAGGAGTACAGGAAGTGATAGTGGGTCGTATAGGCAATGGACAACACAGGGCGCTATCAGGGTGCTTCTTGGGCACATGACGATTCACTGGCTTCCAGTAGCCTAGCCAACCTTCAGTCATCAGAATAGAACTACATTGCCGATGTACTTGCAGTGACACTCAAATTTTAGATAGAATGTTGGATAAGTGAACTAAATAGGAGAAAGATTTTACTTTTTGAGGTCAAAGCTGGATTTTGTTCAGGTTGGCTTCACAGCTAGCGCATGAATTATTGGTTGTAGTAGAGACTAATTGGGGCTCTGGAACTATAAGGGTACTGAAACGCCCCCTGCGAAGTTGCCATGCACGTTGCACTACGACATTTCTCACCCTGGGGCATCCGAGCACAATTAACTTCAAATCCATCACCGACGTAAATCGTTCTTAACCCTTTACCGCCTGACACGAGTAACCGGAGCAATATTGTCACAAGCCTACTTCCCAAAAAGGATACGTTGCTAGTGAGCGCAAAATGACTTGCACTGATGGTTGCCGCCACTTACGACAACTTTAAAATGTTCTCTGTTGCGTACAAACGTCCTGATGTTGCTACACTCGATAGTTTACGCATAATTCAAGTTGATAGTTATTTTCCCGGAGAGTGTCATACGGCGATAGAGGGTTAAGAATTATCATGACGTTCGACGATTGTTACGACTAATGCACACCAATGATACAAAAAAATTATAACTCAGTACTTACTGCAGTGAGTGACAAAGGGCGCATTTTCTCGTCGACGAAAACGTGAAGTCACGGACGGACAGACGGACGGACATGGCGAGCACAATAGTGCATTTTTCCCATAAATGAGAAAATGCGCTAAAAAGGTTTTCTACTGAAAGTGATTTTCTATCGAACATGTAGGTCGGGACTTGCCTGGGTTGGGCGTTTTGCTTCAGCTCCAGAATCATTCAAGTAATAGTAAGGATGCTATGGAGAATAGCAGCTAAGTAGCTGGTTGATTTGATGTCAATTGCAAATTTTGCTTCGAGGAATTGCAAACATAATCGCTAATGAAACATAAATAAAAGAACTAATTTTAATGTTATTAGCAAATGACTTCATTCCTGAAGTAACCCGCAAAATTCTAACATCAATGCATATAAATTATGCAAAATTAAAATTTAAGATTGAAAACCCAGTTACTAATTTTATAAACGTTCTTTAGTATAACGAATACAAAATGGAAGAAACTGGCTCATTGAAAAAATCCGTGATGAAACTTCACAGCTGACAACACCAGCGACATTAAACTGGAACTACATAGACCACCATGATGTACGTAACTCATCCGCTAGAAGCCAAAATTTTCAACTAGCCCAAATACTAGTCCCGTTCTAGTTAAGTAGCGAATTGAATAACAGTTCGTTTACTTCAAAGAAACCTTGACGAATATGAGCAAAAGGTAGCAGCTGCGTTATCAAATATGCTAAGGATACAAGAGCAACAGTGAAGATGTTGACATGGGCTTCCCTCCTGGACCAGCAGCTTTTTGATTCCCCGACCAGTGACCTGCGAAAGCCTCCAGTCATTGCTCGAACAGCACTGGCAGTTTACAGTAATTTTTCGAATAGCACCGCGACAATTCCTAGTCATCCGGTGAGCCCAATTATAGCACCTACAGCCAACCCAATTATGCGCAATGCGCCTTTCCATCTCCAACTGTCTTTTCCATTTCTTCTTCTTTCTGGCCACTCTGCGCCACCTCTTGTTCTTTTCCACTCTTTCCTAGTGGCACCGCACACACACACATCCGGTGGGTACTGCCACAGCTTACGATCATTACTGCGTGCCCGACATTTTTACCTGCATTGCACGATTACGATCTAGCGAGTGACGGTCTTTTTCCTGCCTGAATAGGCTGGACGCAACCAACCGGCAGTCGGTTGGCGGAATTTTGGGCCTGTCATCGAGTAACCTCGTTTCCAGCAGTTCGTTTTACTGTCGAAGTAATTATTTCGCTTACAAGTCTCTTACTTAATAAGGAAGATTACTAGAAGCATCTTTTCAAAACCATTCCTGCGTTTTTTTTCAAGTTCATTCCTGCCTTCTTGAGTCTCTCGAGAGTCTAAGACTTTTTATTCAGTTTGCATACGATCGAAATGCAATTTGAATTAACGAAGGCAGACTACATAGATCAGAATAGGTAGTGGAACCTTTTCTAAAAAATCTCAAGCGACATGAAAGGAGAGTGGACAACGTAAATATTTCCCAGTTATTTGTGCTGCTCGCTTATTCCGAATAGAATTCTTACATTAAATGGCAAGCTCACGCTAGTCTGCCGCATAGTCTTTTCGCCCCCATTTAGTACTCAAATATTCTGAGTTCTACTGGACTCATGCCTTTAATCCAATTTGTTCAGAGCGGCAATTGGAATTGTAAGTACCTCGGCCCCACTGGCATCTGAATTTTAAATACTCTCTTCACTACGGTTTATCGCTTCCTTTCAATTCTTCTCATCCCTCAGATATTGTAGGAATGGTTTGTCAACGAGCCCCAGCTTACGGACCCTAGCGTGACTTATAGACAAAGTCTTTCAGCAATACAAACGATAATATCGGCATTGGCTCGATTTCATTTGATGATTACTGGAGAGTTTCCGGACTATATATGAAGTCTATCAATTCTTACGAGTTCAAAATTAGATTTACCCGAATCAACGTTATGATAATTTGATCCTATAACAGCTAGCAACGAGTACGCGTCAAAACGGGGGTTGACTCTAGTTCCGTAAGAGTTAATGCGATAATCATCATACGTCCTCTTGATGCTCAAGACTATGCACACATGATCATGCAAGACTGGCCTGCAAATATTCAAGAGGGTTGATGAATGAGGATGGATTATAACGTACGAGACGTTAATTGCAATCGGCGAACTGAAACAGCCGGGGTACCGTTAGAGTCCCCTGACAACGTTATTTGGATTATTCTTGCCGGTTGAACTGGCATGGAAGTTTCAGGACGTTTCATACGAACAATCATGCGGTCGTCTTATCGGCGCTGGCTACATAGCTCCTAATAGCAAAAAAGTTTTTCTAGTTAAAGCTATCCGACTGATTTACTATGTCACTAACTATAATTTCATCAGGCATTTGCAGTGAGGGGCAGGATAGGAATAAGAAATTATGTCCTCATTTAAATTGAAGAAAACAATCGAAATGTCCTAAACAAGTAAAATCAAACTAAATGACTGCAATCCTACAAACCACCAAAACGACAGTGTTTCACACTGTAAATTAAGAACATGATCAACAACATATTTCAGTAAAATAGAACTTAAAAGTAGAGGCTAGACATAATATGCGAGCCAATGAGCTAAAAACTACAGTTACTGCAGTTGGCAAGTGTTCACTTTTGTCTTGCGTAAAAACCCCCATCAACTGCTCATTTGCCATTTCTTTCTCTTTCCGTGGGTATTACAACATCCTTGCCAAGACGTCCTGGAGGAGAGGCTTGCCCGTTCCCGACAACCACCAACGGGGCACCATCTTCGGCGGCCACCTCGTCCGCGACGGCCGACGGGGCACCCTCTTCGGCGGCCACATCGTCCGCGACGACCGACGGAGCACCATCTTCGGCGGCCACATCGTCTGCGACGACCGACGGGGCACCATCTTCGGCGGCCACATCGTCCGCGACGACCGACGGGGCACCATCTTCGGCGGCCACATCGTCCGCGACGACCGACGGGGCACCATCTACGGCAGACGCCTCGTCCGCGGCGCCCGACGGAGCACCATCTTCGGCAGACACCTCGTCCGCGGCGCCCGACGGGGCCACATCTTCGGCGGCCACCTCGTCCGCGGCGCCCGACGGGGCAACATCTTCCGCGGCCACCTCGTCCGCGACGGCCGACGGGGCACCATCTTCGGCGGCCACCTCGTCCGCGACGACCGACGGGGCACCATCTTCGGCGGCCACCTCGTCCGCGACGACCGACGGGGCACCATCTTCGGCAGACACCTCGTCCGCGACGACCGACGGGGCACCATCTTCGGCAGACACTTCGTCCGCGACGTCCGACGGGGCACCATCTTCGGCGGCCACCTCGTCAGCGGCGCCCGACGGGGCACCATCTTCGGCAGACACCTCGTCAGCGGCGCCCGACGGGGCACCATCTTCAGCGGCCACCTCTGCATCGGCACAATGCGCTTCATCACGTTCCTGCAGTTCTACAGAAGTTTCCGCCGGCTGCACTTCAGTCGCTAGGGGGACTCTATCGATTGGAACCGCGCCCTCTGATGCAGAGTCTTTAGCTGCTTCTTCTGATTCAGAGTGACTAGCATTCACGGGATCTGCGGGGCTTATAGTCATCTCATCATTTGCAGCTCTAGCTGCAGCTTGGCGACGGAAAAAGCTTTCGTCTCCTGTTATAACAGCCAATCTTTCCAAGGATTCATAGCGCGGAGGAGGTGTCCCAGGGTCCCCGGAACTGCTGCCAGAAGTTTCTCTTTGCCTGGGAAATCTGACGTTCTCGAATATGTTCCTCATGGACCATCTTGAACTTGTAGTAGATGTCGATCTAAAGGACGCATTTGCATTCGAGAAAATGCTGCGGAAGCCTAAACGCTGCCGGGTAACACCAGCTACCGGAGTTGGTGGTGGGGCTCCAATCTCCAGGTCGTTACCAGGATTCACAGGGTCTGTTGTAATATGGTTTAACGGTTGCTCTCTGGTGCTGCGGAAGTGAAGGACGAGATCCCATCCTATCACCAGCATACACGCAACTAGAACGATCATAGCTATGACCGCAATTATTCTGCCTGCTTCGGACTCCTATTTACCTGAAAAACATGAGGGATGTTTTCAGGGCCAATTTACTAAATAATATCGTCAAATATGTTCCAGATTATGAACAATCTGTATTCAAGCCACATTAATCAGTATGCTGAAAGGTACGACATCCACTATTCGGTACGAGTCTCACCTGGCAGCCCAAAATACATGTATAGTATCACGGCGATGATCAGGACAAAAAACAGCAGCACGATTATCAAGATTTTTTGAAGAATTTGGCCGTTACTAAGTGGTGTCGTCATCGTGTCTAAGCTTATGTTTTCTTCAAGTCTAGTATTAGATAACTCTTAAAATCCACCTGCACGATTGCAAGAATACAGATGTCAAGTGTTGAGGTCGCACCTGCGCGTTAAATAGACAAGAAATTCAAGAAATTTTGTAATGCATCAACACTTATACCTAGGATCTCCTATACTACCACCTTATCTGCATAAGCTGGACACATGGCTACTATACATGGCATAACTTACACCTTGTGTTGCTAGGATGAGGGTCTACACCAACACACACACACCTATACTTGTCGAGACACCAACACCCACACATCTATACTTGTCGAGACACCAACACCCACACATCTATACTTGTCGAGACACCAACACCCACACACCTATACTTGTCGAGACACCAACACCCACACACCTATACTAGTCGGCACACCAACACCCACACACCTATACTTGTCGGCACACCAACACACACCTACTCGTTTGGTACACCAACACACACCTACTCGTTTGGTACACCAACACACACCTACTCGTTTGGTACACCAACACACCTACTCGTTTGGTACACCAACACACACCTACTCGTTTGGTACACCAACACACACCTACTCGTTTGGTTAACCAACACACACCTACTCGTTTGGTTAACCAACACACACCTACTCGTTTAGTTAACCAACACACACCTACTTGTATGGTACACCAACACACACCTACTTGTCGGTTCACCCTTTAACTATCTTCCCTATCCTAATGCAATCTCAAAGGTTTCAGGGGCCATACTTGCAAAACTCGCTTAGTGGACGTGAGTACTTATGCTCTATTTTTTTTATATGATTGGTGGATTTTGCTTGAAAGACCGTCAATGATTGGCTGATGAACTTACGATCTCTTAACTTTTTTTGAAAGTATGGGCCCAGAGATGTCCGCTATTCTATACCACGCTAGCGCCAGCACTAAATCAACTACTTGACTCCACTTTCCGAATACGGCGTAACTGCTCCATGCACCACACTTTGAATAATTATGTTAGGTTACCAACAGGTCGTTCCTGAAGTTAGCAACTTTCTTAAGTGTATGGTTCAAGAAATTTGGAAATCATTCCAAATTCAGGATATCTGTAGCGTTAAAGAATATTCTGATTCAGATCCATATTTACTCTATTTTCAAATACGCGATAGTGCTTAGCGTTAACCGAAGGTAAAAATATTAAAGGTGGCTCTAAGGTATCTCAGTTTGAAATGCATAATCAATTAATTAGAGGAATCGGCATTGAATACAGTGTCCGATTTAGCAATAGTCGCTAATTTTGTCTTTAAATATGTACTATGAGTTTTTTCATAAATAAGTATCTACTTACATCTTTAGTCTGCTGAAATCGCATCAAAAATTTATAAACAAAAAAAAATATTCACTCTGATTAAATGGCGTCTGCAATTACTTATGTCAGAGTGGTAGAAAACTCAAAGTAAATTCATTTATTTAAATTCATTCAAAACGTTTTAGGGACTAGCTTCATCATCAGTTCAAAAATTTACACAAAAAGCAGCGTGCGCTTGCCGTCGAGTCGCACTCTTCTAATGGCCGTTCCATTATCGCTACTCGACGAGCATTCCGGAATCGGTTACGTATTCATCCTTCAGGTCCGGGTACCTGATAGGAAATCGATTGTTACGTGGGTGAACATATTTAGGCCAAGTAGAAGTGTGAATGCAAGAGGGCCAGGGCCTATACTTTCAAAAGAAGTTAAGAGATCGAAAGTTCATCAGCCAATCATTGACGGCCTTTCAAGCTAAATCTGCCAATCATAGACAAGAAAATAGAGCGTAAGTACTTTCAAAACTGGCTAAGTGAACGTAAGTACTTACGCTCTATTTTCTTGTCTATGATTGGTGGATTTTGCTTGCAAGGCCGTCAATGATTGGCTGATGAACTTACGACCTCTTAACTTTTTTTGAAAGTATGGGCCCAGCGGACTGCCACAACGCCCGAAAATGTAGAGAGAGTTAAAGAGGCACAGCGCGATGACCAATGGATCTTCTGAGATAACATTTCGCAAAGCCTCATCTTCTTGAGTGTCGACCTTCTTTGGCCGTCCCGATCCCCCGATTGGGCTCTTTCTGATTTTTGATGGGGTTATCTTAAATTAATTGCTAATAATGACTGTCCAAGGAACCTACCTCACTTGAAGAACAACGTACACCACGCCATCGCCAAAACATACCCGTCAATATGCTTCAGCGAGTTAAACGGAACTTAAAAAATCGATCAACTGATTGCATTGACCATGGAGACAGTCATTTGTCCGAGGTCATCTTTAAAACTAAATGATACAAAAATCAAGGTAATGTATTTTTCAATAAAATTATCTTGTTTTCAAGTATTGAATTCAAGTACTGAAAAGTATTTTCGCTGTCTGTCTTATATCTTGAATAGTTCCTTTTCATCGAGTTTTCAAATCAGGAAGTTTTAGTGAATCACCCTGTAAATTACCATAAATTCAATAAAAATGTGTAATAACCATGACTATTAAGAAGTTAGGTTTGTATCTTTTATTAAGAGTTGTACAGTAAATATATGGCGATAGAATGTAGGTGAAATTTTAACTGGGTTAGATATAACTACATGAAAACTAATTTGCCAGCAAATTGAAAAGTTTTAGAAATTAATATAATAATCTCGTAAAATCTTCTGATCTCTTATGAATAGAGTGCAGCGAGCGAGACATTTATTTTACTAATTTAAATTAATGTGCCGTCACTTGAGCCGCGATTTCTGTAAACATCTACAGAATAAGTATATACTGACACTGTAAATTCTGAAATACCTTAGTAATGATGTAGTTAAACAGGGAATGATTTTACATAATTTTTATTAATATAACTCTTTCAATAAATCAACATCAATGTTCGAATGAATTCAAACGATCTTCATAAGTAACTAATGTAGTTAAACTGGGATTGGTTTTACATAATTTTTATGAATGTAACTCCTGCAATAAATCAACATCAATGTTCAAATGCATTCAAACAATATTCGGAGGTACAACACGATCGACTCTCACTTCGGACAAGACTAAAGATATTAAAACGCTTTGATAATGACGACTTGCTGTGGTTAGGCACGAATTAAACATTATTCGGTACCTCATGGATCAGTTTCTAGTACCTACTTCCATAAAAATAAATAAAAAGTAAAGACTTTGTGACAACTTGAGCCGAGAGGGACATGGGGGACAACCCCACATCATCAGTAAACAAATAAACAACAACATGACGACTTGATTAGTAACGTAAACCTTATCAACTGATCCCATGCTTATCAGAATTCGGGAAAAGAATTATACCTACTACCATCTATTTCCTCGTTGGCAAATGTAAAATGGAAAGGAGTTCCCCTAATCAAATGGATATTATGGACGAAAATTTATTTAAATTAGAGAAATTTTAACAATATTATGTTGAAGCGGTTAAAGTTTCTAGCTGGACGCTTGTTCATCTTGGGGCACGGGCATAGCTGGCTCACTGTTAAGCTTCATGTTGCGAATTGCGTCTGATCTACTCACTTTTTTCACCACAATTACAGCTCCTTCATCCGTTTCGAAATATTCTTCATCCAAAGAATCGCTGATTTCGCCAGGCATTACAGCAGGTACATTGGTGTTCATACAAGCATTAACATTCAAGTATTGAAAAGTATTTTCGCTGTCTGTCTTAACTGCTGACATTTTGTCTTCATTTTTCGGCAATTCTTCGTAGCCCGATTTTCTCAAGGTCTTCAAATCCGCCCAACTCTTGAAGAATTTACTAACTGGTTTGGCACCTGCGCTTGGGGATCCAGATTGATGAACGTCGACAGGGCACACAACTATATTTGGTACGTCGGGTACAGTTCCATTTTGCTGTATTTCGTGGTGATGAATTGGAGACGATGGAGTTTGTTCGGCGACATGAGCACGAACTGCATTCACCAACCTGTCCAGCTCCACAATGATGGCGATGACCGGACTCACGGCAAGCACCACCACTAGCACGTACAGAGCGATCTTCCAACCTCCACGAACATCTGCCAACAAAAAATTGGAGCAATTAGATTGTATAGTCAAACATTTAATAAAATTTTCGAATATATAAAACAGGATTCAATGCACCGAATTCCATTTCTACATATTTTTTTCAAAATGGGAAGCATTTGAAAAAAATTTCGAATCTACAAAAAAGGATTCAATGCACCGAATTTTATTTTCATATTCTTTTCCTCTACGGTGACGCCAGTTACCGAATATTTTAGTTCACCTGGAAACTGAGGAAGGATGATGCCATTTATATTTTTGTCATATTGGCAAGCATTTGAAAAAAATTTTCGAATATACAAAAAGGATTCAACGCACCGAATTCTATTTTCATATTATTTTTGTCTTCGTTGACACCTGTTACCGAATATTTTAGTTGTAAACCTGAAAACTGAGGAAGGAAGAGGCCATTTATATTTTTGTCATATTGGCAAGCATTTGAAAAATTTTCGAGTATACAAAAAAGATTCAATGGACCGAATTCTATTTCCATAATATTTTCATCCACGGTGACACCAGTTACCGAATATTTTAGTTCACCTGGAAACTGAGGAAGAATAATTCCGATGACAGCAGCGCACAGCCAACACACGCACCAGGTCACGAGCTTGACTTGCCCGCAGGTCCAGCCCATGTCACTGAAGAATTAATAATTTAACCTGAAAAATGCATAATGATTAATCATGAAAACTCTGGCTTCTATTTCCATGTTAGTAAGAAGATACTATCGAGAAAAATACTGTACGACAATAAACAACTGGACCAATTTCATCGAACTTTGGGTCCCTTGAGTGGGACACGAGAAAAATAAAATACGAGTAACAATTTTTTGTGGTATTCCATTATCAAAATAAATTACGTAGGAATTGTGGGTGAATGGAATCATCGAGAAAAAAACCATGCATACTGGGCTCCTTAGTCGCTTATAAGAAAATTAAATTTCGTTTATTACAATTAATTCCTCTTAGCAGGAGCAGTGTTATAAATAACGGTTCGCTTATTATCAAACACTATAAAGACCAACAATTTCAGAGCTGAACCCAAAACGTCGCTAACCACTAGTGAAAACTGTCGAAAATATTCTCAAGCTATTGAGACGTTCCTAACTTGTGGTTTGACACTAGGCTAACACTAATCATAGCCTTTGTTTATTCTCCATAATTAAGCATATGACATCATATTTTCAATTGAATTTCACAAATTCTCGAGACGCAACAATGTACTGGAATTTAGATCAGAAAACCAAACAGGAATTGATAAAATTCTAGCAACACTATCACCATCGAATTGAAACCACCGGCAATTTGGAGAAGCTTATCTAACAAATCTCAACAAATTCATTACGAAACTTTCTTGTATTATGATGCACGTCACATAAAATTGATATTAAAGCTCACTGAAAATATTAATTAAACGAATTACACATTTGTTTTGGTTGTTTCCAATTCCACTCGACGTGCTACTACACACGCTGGATAAGGTGCGAAGCGGAACAAAACTTATTCTACTTCTTTCGAGTCATACTCTGTAAATACACGTAAATCAGATTGTTTCAGAACAGGGCCCATACTTTCAAAAAAAAGTTAAGAGATCGTAAGTTCATCAGCCAATCATTAACCCCATTTCAAGCAAAATCCACCAATCATAGACAAGAAAATAGAGCGTAAGTACTCACGTTCACTTAGTGAATTTTGAAAGTATAGCCCAAAGCCTCAAAGTATTTGAACCTGCGCTTTCAGGTACATCAGAAATTATGAAAATTCCATTGAACTAAGCTCATTAGAAATACTGGTATTTACCAAGAAACCGATTGGATATTTTTGATGTTGTGGCAGTGACCCAGTCTCGTATTCAAGAGATCTACGCGTAACATTGCAGCTTTATTAGAATAAAGCGATAATATTCTGATATATTGTCGTATGTTTTTTTTCAATTTAATTGTTTAATTGCTTGACTGTTTTTCAAAACGATACTCGCATAAATTTGGCAGTTATGCATCCATCTGATTAATCAAACACGCTTTTATTTCTTTCAGGCGTTAATGGGTATTTTCAGAGTGTTTACACCCTCCTAAATAACAAGTTCTTACTTTCCTAATGCCAAGCCCAGGGGCCATACTTTCAAAACTCGCTAAGTGAACGTAAGTACTTACGCTCTATTTTCTTGTCTATGATTGGTGGATTTTGCTTGAAAGGCCGTCAATGATTGGCTGATGAACTTACGATCGCTTAACTTTTTTCGAAAGTATAGGCCCTCAGGTCTTTTCCTGAATGACTTTGTTACTTCATAAGGAAGCAGGCCCTATTGCTTTTTTTAACGCTCCTGAAAAATTTGTGCATTAAATTGAGATAATGTAATTGCGTAATTACAATACTTGTTCATGAATCGTTACGTTAAATTGCACTTTAAAATATAATCGGGCGAAACCAAGAAAAAACTGACAACGCTTATTGGGATAAACACGGAAGCTTGAAAAAAAAAAACAGAATGTCCGTTGGAATTATGACGCAGGATCTCAAAAAATAATATGGCTTACCGGACACTATATGAATGATGATTAGAGCGTTTTCATGGCCCTTATTGTGATGATTGTTAAGCCGCCCCTAGAGGCTCGATTTGATTGGGCATGTTCTGGTGAGCGCTATAAAAATGTCGAGGTCTAATGGCCATTTTGAGGGTTGCGCGATATATTGCGCAATTTAAAGAATCTTAAAAATATCTTGCGTAAACTGAATGATCTTGTGCTGACCAGAGGCTATGTTACGCAATGTTACACCGATTGGTCGTGAGCGGTCGAATGAACGCTTCGTCTCAACAACTCGTTCCCATCATAGATGTACAAAAAAGCTGAAAAATATTGTTCTGTCAACATTGTACTGTATGCTGGAACTCGAATGGCTTCACTTGCGTTATTGATTGATTTTAGTTTTTCAAGTATCACGTGATTAGTTAGCAGATCCCGATCTTGATGCATTTTCGGAAATGCTCACTAACAGATTCTGAAAACGCCGTAGTTGATTTTCACGGGCCATGGTATTTCTAGCAATGTGATGATGGACGGTGAGATGGAGATTCCTCCACGCAAGTGTAAAGACCAAAATAGTTTTAGATACTTTGTTGACATGCCCGGAGGTACAGGGTATTCCAAAAGCTTACCGGGGCCAAAATGACCAATCGTCGGTCGAGAATGTTGTTTGATTTTCAAAACTAAAAATATTGAACAGAGAATACTCGCTATCCGGCATCATATGTGGAAACTCTCCTTTAGCCGACATAGTCATTTTAACTCGACATCTGCGTCCAAAGTAATCAACCCATTACTGTGAGGGTATGATGTAATGTTTTAAAACAGTGCTCCATTCCTTTGCTTATCGTTTTATATGTTATCTAACACACTCGCGAACCAAACTAGTAGCATTCAATTCGTACATCAATTGGAGTCCAACTCCATGTTATGCATCATTTTAGTTTCATAGGTTGCGAATGGCGTGAGGAGTAAAAATATATTTCAATCTTTTCGTCATTACAAGCAAGATCTCTCGCATATATGCGTTGATGCCCATCGTTTTAAATGTAATCTCCCTACCACACTCGTGAAGCAAACTAGAAACATTCAATGCTAGCATCAATTTGAGTCAAATTAAATATTTTGCGTCATTTTTGTTACATGGGTTAAGAATGGCGTTATGAGTAAAAATATATTTCCATTTATGATCGTCGTTACAAATAAGACCTCTCACATAACTGCGTTGAACTAAAGAAGCTTAATGTGTTTAAAATGAGGTTTAATTGTTGCGGTGGGACATGGAAGGTCTAAACATTGCACAGAAACTGACGAAAAATCAGAAGAAACAGTGGACGTGTTACAAAAATGGAGACTGGCGCCAAATCATTCAAGTACTTTTGAAATAACTTTCAACGACAGAAAGCAGCAATTTCGTTCGAACTTCTAACAATGAAAATTAAATATTGATGTCCATCAAATTTAGCACAATACTTTCATCAACAATGCCGAATGGGAAGGATCGTTCTCAATCCACTTTGGCAATAACGCCCAGCACTACTTAATTGACGCCAGCACCCAAGTTCAATTATCTCAATTAACGAACGCTGCCACCATTTACGATGTCTTTCGTTACCGATAGCCATAATAAAATTCTAAATTCAATGCTCATTTTCATTAATCAAAAGGCTAGTGAATGATCTCTTTCAATTTCCATTATAACAGTCAAGAATTTAAACCTGTATTAATGCCCTAGTATATTTTTTATACCGCCACCTCAAAATTCATGCAGTTTCGTCTTTCAATTCACTTCATTGAAAGTGTTCATTACATTTAACAAGGAATCACAGAACTAATAGAGCGTATAATATTTTAAATCCAACCGCACTAGAGTTATTTTATAACTATTCATTTTCTCTTCGGATGCTTTCAACTTAAGTGGGCGCTATAATTAAAGAATGGTTTTATTGCCTAAAACCATGAAAAACAGGCCCATTTACTACTGTTAATGGTATGAAGTTAGGTTAGAATCAAGAATATGATGGTATTTTATTCTAAAATAGAGGGAAGGACCGTATAATATCAAAACTTTGTAAAATGACAGAAACAAATACAACGTGAATAACACACTTTCCAGGCGCTCCAAATTTATGCCAACATTACAGTAAAATGAGTAAATGATCAATGCCTTAATCATTTGCGATATTTTAAGTCACGGCCTTGATAAACGATTGGAGTAGCTTCGTTAGAAGGCTTAAGTAGATTAATAAGTCGGCAATAAGATAGATACGCCAAGCTAACAACAGACTGCTAAACATCATCATCATAAAATTGTCATCATGGATTCAGTAGTAAATCCTCTCCACGGGTGTCTTAGGATGAATGAATGTATTTAGCAAATTTGCCACATATTTGCTTTCGCGTTTCTCAAATTGCACAGTTTTCTTTACTCTTTTCTTCTGCCCGGAGCACGAATCCCCACTTGCTGCATCTCCCACAGTTGAAACTTGTCGCGAACTAGATGCAGTTTCAACGACATCCCGAGTATTTCCATCGGCCTGTGAGGAATATTCGACCAAATCCTCAGTTATCTTAGAACGTTTGTTGATTTCGTGAGCTGAACAACCTCGGTAATAACCAAGAGGAATGTTACTCGTATTGTCCAAAAGTGTGTCGGTTCCGTCAGTTTCGTCTTGTTCGGCGGCGCTACGCAATCCTGGTAGCTTTTTATTGACTACGCAGGTTTCTGAGAAAGTTGCAGGTTTCGTCCCTTTTTTCGGGACGTTTGTTTCGTCTTGTTCCGCGGCGCCACGCAATCCTGGTAGCTTTTTGTTGACTACGCAGGTTTCTGAGAAAGTCGCAGGTTTCGTCCCTTTTTTCGGGACGTTTGTTTCCAACAACGCTGCACCTTCGCTCGTACGAGACGAAGGTCTGCGTGATTCTGCATCACGGACGACCTGTAAATTTTGTTGTTGATGCGGAAATGAATGTCTTTGATGTTCACAGGCTGACTCGAATGGATAAACGTCCAATTCTTTGGGGTCATCGATCGCTGTAGCAGATCTTGAGAAAATAAGCGAGAAATTGCCGTTTTTAATCTTGTCTCTGCAGAGGTCGAATACTTTCAGATGCAGGATAACGAGGACAATGGCCGACACCGAGAAGAATGCTGCCAGAGTTGCTATACTGATGAACAATACGGGGTCGATATCTGAAGAAATTACCAACATTAATGAATCCCACGAAAATGATTAATGATGAATTTCAGATAAATTCAGAATGAGTACATGGGTTACCTCAAGTCATTCATCATAGTATTCAATTAATTTATATAAAATTGTTTTCTCCAGATGAATTTATATAAAACTGTATTCTTCAGAATATGTACCATTAATTGTGTTGTACGATAAATACTATTTTATATTGACAGAATTCATAGTAATTTCCTAACATCTACCTCGAAATTTCGTCTGAATATTGACAGCACGACAACGTATACGAATCAAAGAAGTTTATCGACCCCAAGATACATATTATCGTGCTTGATTCATTTTCGTACTCCTCAAACTTCAGTACAACTTCATTGAACAATGTTCCTTAAGAATTGTCTTACTTCTTGGCAGGATTATCAGTGCGGTGAAGAAAACTACTGCTAAGCCCCAACAGACTACGGTCTTGACGTCTGCTAACCCTCCAAATGACGGCATCTGCGAATAAATTCAACCTTAAATAATAAATTCAACCTTAAATAATAAATTCAACCTTAATAAATTCAACCTTAAATAATAAATTCAACCTTAAATAATAAATTCAACCTTAATAAATTCAACCTTATCGTTAACAAGGTTTCGCGCACGGAAGCCTCTTCAAAATTAATAAAAAACCATTACGCTTTACGCCTGCAAAAACATATGTACCCTGAACTTCTCTTCATGTAGTAGAGAACATTCAGATAGGGTAAAGAAGACTTCAGAAATGCATTGAAAACACAACAGCCTCTTCAAAGTTAATAAAAACTATCACGCCTGTAGAAAAAAATGTGTCTGAGCTTCCTTGTATGTATGTATAGAGCATTCAGAAAGAGTAAAGAAGACTTCAAAATGTATTTAAAAACACAAGTAAACTTCGTACTTTTGTCGTCAGTATTACGTCGGTCATGGCACACTATTCTAGAATTATAGATCACACAACTGTAACTCAACCACCGCTACCGTACACATTGTTCAGTTCAAGCTTAGCACGTCTCCACACCGTTTACAGAGAAGACGACACCAAAAAACGTTAAACACTATGATAATTTAGACAAGATCACAGCAACGCCTAGTCGGAGATAAGATGCTATTTTAATTTAATTGTAGCCAACACAGCCATCCTGACACTCACAGTTAACAAGGGATCGTTCCGAATTTTCAACACTGCACGTAGCCTAGACCGCGTCACTGACACGTTACACAAGGACGAACAATACGCAGTTGCAAATTTGAATGTTGCCAAAACGGTAGCTGAACTTCAGTAACAAAAATACATTTATAGTTGTGTCTAAACACGTTAAAAGCTGTCGTACTTCTTAGCGCAGACATTATAAATAGTTTATATTGTTCATGTAAGTTCAAAAATAGATTAATGTAATGAACTAATTGGTACATAATTAATATTCCATGACGTTTACGAACTTCTACTTACCGTGCCATTGAATATATAGGTATCAAAGCGAGACACGTCACATTGCATGCCGATGTTGAAATTTTCAAGCATATTTATCACGCAATTCGGCTCGATTAATAACCAAGTATCGATTAGTTGAGTAAGATTAGTAATTAAAAGAGTAAATTTCGCATAAGTGATGCAATTTTAGTTTCGCTGCTTGAACACTAGCTTAAAAAATTGTTCTCTTTGCGCAACTGGATATACGTTCGGTTTTTACTGGAGAAATGTTGCATGCAACCGATGCTGGAGTCCTTATGACCTTATGATGAGTTTAGGTCACTTTAGGAGAGAAATGTTGCATGCAACCGATGCTGGAGTCCTTATATGACCTTATGATGAGTTTAGGTCACTTTGGGAGAGAAATGTTGCATGCAACCGATGCTGGAGTCCTTATGACCTTATGATGAGTTTAGGACTTCTTAGTCTAAGGTCAAGCTGATGCTCCGCCTTTGTCGTCCTCCGTCTCCGAATCGTCGCTAGGCAGGTCACCCCGCCCTCGGGTCCCGGATGTAACGTTGGACGTGTTCCGTCTATTTGCCCTCCTTTGGGCCACCTGATGCAAGATGCTGTTGATTGTCACTTGCTGAGGGTAGTTTCCCATAAATGGACAATCCGGGATCTTCTTCAGAAACTTATCCAGTTGTCTCTTGAAAGTCGCAAGAGTCTGTCGAGCAGCAAGAGTCCGTCGAGCAGCAACAGTATGCTTGGTGTTCTTTCTTGTCCCTGTGCATAGAAAGAAGAATATGCCATATTCTTTTGCTGATAATCAATATATCTCTTACAAGGACTTAATTTAACTACGTTCCTAATTTATTTAGGGGTTCATAAGCTGTTTGATAAGAACAATGAGATATTGTTTTCAATCAATCGAATACGGATGTAGGGTTGGCTACTGTATACAGAGAACGAATGAGACATCACATCCATTTTTATTGTCCGTAAGTAAGTGAACTAAATAATAGAATAAATAGAGTTGGAGATTGAAATATGCTAGAACTCGCAGTCAGTTAACAATTTAAATATTATAGTTTTCCGAGCTCGAATAGCATTTCACGTTTCATTACACGGAATAGTCCAAAAATCAAAACAAAAGTAAGTATGAAAGATTTAAATAGAGACAGGAAGTCACCTCAGTAGAAATTGATCGCCGGATAGATGATGAACATTCGATCACCGTTAGCCATGTAGATTATTTTAATTATCCATCCTCTGGTACAGAGCCAGAGACTCGATGTAGCACTTGAAATAATTGAAGGTGAAGGCTAATAAAATTTTGATCGCGAATAATACGAGTTTGTGTAATCATTTTAATACAACAATAAATAATGTAAAATATAATAATAAAAGAATAAATACACACTTTCATGCACTAGACTGAGGTTGGATTCGGGCTACAACGAGGTCCTATAATATATTATATAATATTTTATGATATATCATAAAATTTTACATAATTTATTATATTATATCAATATTTATAAATTAAATATACCAGAGCATCTTCTATACTGACTTTACAGAGAACACGAATATATGCTTCGGTGGATCAACCCGTTGAAACACCCCAACAAATTTACTGTCCTGCATGGGCCTATACTTTCAAAAAAGTTAAGAGATCGTAAGTTCATCAGCCAATCAGTGACGGCCTTTCAAGCAAAATCCACCAATCATAGACAAGAAAATAGAAGACAAGAAAATAGAGCGTAAGTACTTACGTTCACTATACTTTCAAAAAAGTTAAGTGATCGTAAGTTCATCAGCCAATCATTGGTTGCCTTTCAAGCAAAATCCACCAATCATAGACAAGAAAATAGAGCGTAAGTACTTAAGTTAACTAGCGACTTTTGAAAGTATGGCCCCTGCGCTACCTCACAATTAAGGTAGCGAACTGAAGCATTACAGCCGACAGTACGGAGACGATTGTTAATGTATCAAATTATCAGAAGCCTGATTGATTTCATGAAGACCAGGCTGAAAATTTATAATAAGGTCGAAATAGATTTGGTAAAATAATTAATTTCATGTACTCAAGAAAAGAATATACCTTCCCGCTGTAATAATGTTGCAGAGACAAAGATACTAACAGCATCAATGGGAATATTTTTGACAAATTGATATCGCTTTGATTTTTAATTTTAGCATCATTAATAGGAATATTTCTGACAAATATATATCGCTTTGATTTTTAATTTTACAGCAACCAGCTTGATTAGAAAAAATATAACTCAGTACTCACTGCAGTGAGTGACAGAGAGCGCATTTTCTCGTCGACGAAAACTTGAGGTCACGGACAGACGGACGGACGGACCGACAGACAGACAGACAGACGGACATGGCGACACAATAGTGCCTGTCTCTTATACACATCTAGATGTGTATAAGAGACAGGCTATGAAGATGGCGTTGTTTGAATATCAACAGCCATGAAGATGGCGTTGTTTGAATATCAACAGCTATGAAGATGACGCTGTTTAAATCGAATTGAGTTTGAATCAAATTGTTTGAATTGAAACGAAAAGCGTGATTTTTGAAACGAAGAAAATACTTAATAATATATATTGAATGAAAATTAAAGCCGACTTTTCCAGCCCCTAAAAACTTGCAACGAACTCTGTTCGGTTACAATTTATCATTAACCAAATTTATCTCGGATGTTGATTATTATCATTCTGATGAGTGTTTATGGGAGCTTTGGAAAGACATCTATGTAGCCCCATGTCGGAACGTACAATGTACATCTCTGCAACTTTGTTAGGAACAAATCGATGACCAAAAAGTGAGTTATCGGTGCAGAATATCATATAGAAATTCAGTGTGCACTGCAGTACAGTAATACCATATTCAGTGTGCACTGCAGTACAGTAATACCAATTTAGTGTGCACTACAGTACAGTAATACCCCATTCAGTGTGCGCTATAGTACAGTATATAATACCCAATTCAATGCAGTGTGCACTACAGTGCAGTAATGCCCAATTCCGTGTGCACTACAGTACAGTAATACCCAATTCAGTGGGCACTGCAGTACAGTAATACCCAATTCAGTTGGCACTACAGTACAGTAATACCCAAGTCAGTGTGCACTACAGTACAGTAATACCCAATTCAGTGTGCACTGCAGTACAGTAAAACACAGTTCAGTGTGCACTACAGTATACAGTAATACCCAATTAAATGTGCACTACAGTACAGTAACACCCAATTCAGTGTGCACTACAGTACAGTATATAATACCCAATTCAGTGTGCACCACAGTACAGTAATACCCAATTCAGTGTGCACTGCAGTACAGTAATACCCAAATCAGTGCGCACTACAGTACAGTAATACCCAATTCAGTGTGCGCTACATTACAGTATATAATACCCAATTCAGTGTGCACAATAGTACAGTAATGCCCAATTCAGTGTGCACTACAGTACAGTAGTACCCAATTCAGTGTGCACTACAGAACAGTAATACCCAATTCAGTGTGCACTACAGTACAGTAAAACCGAATTCAGCGTGCACTACAGTACAGTAATGCCAATTCAGTATGCACTACGGTACAGTAATACCAATTTAGTGTACACTACAGTACAGTAATACCCAATTCAGTGTGCGCTACAGTACAGTAATACCCAATTCAGTGTGCACTACAGTACAGTCATACCCAATTCAGTGTGCACTACAGTACAGTAATACCAAATTCAGTGTGCACTACAGTACAGTAATACCAAATTCAGTGTGCAGTACAGTACAGTAATACCCAATTCAGCGTGCACTATAGTACAGTAATGCCCAATTCCGTGGGCACTACAGTACAGTAGTACCCAATTCAGTGTGCACTGCGTTACAGTAATACCCAATTCAGTGTGCACTACAGTACAGTAATACCCAATTCAGTGTGCACTCCAGTTCAGTGATACTCAATTCAGTGTGCATTACACAAAGGACATCATGGGTACTACTTTATTTGTACTTCGTCGAGAGCAGACTGACGCTCGGTTCCAAGTTTGAAGATCACGCCTTTTACGTCTTAAGACCCGCCACGCTTGCTGATCCAAAGCCCACCATGCTGCTGATCCATGTTTGAAGCCCACAAGCCTTGGGATCTACCAAGTTTGGAGGCAAAGCTAACTAGAAAGACGGCGTTAGGAGGCCAACCAAACTCGGAACCCAATAAATCCCGAGACTAACTACGATAGGGGGACAAATCAAACATTCGGGCCAGCCATAAACTGGGACCTACCAGGCCTGGGGACCGAACATACCAGCCTCGGGACAATCAGGCCTGAAGGGGACCTCCCTTAATGTGTCGCCAGAAATATTGGATTGACCAATCGTTTTTAAAATTGAAACTATTATAAACTGTAATTTATGTAAAACCGTCCCAAAACGTTGAAGAAACTAACGTGAACAAGTTATTCCTTCAAACCCCTCAAAAATCTATTCTTTGCAGAAAAACAGATCTTTGCAAAAAAAACATGCATAACTCTTACAATTCATGAATATATCATCAGCGACGAAAAACTGACAATATACGGCACATTAAGGAACATGTTCCACTTACATGTATTGGACCAAAAACGTTTCCCTTCGCTTATGAATACTCCTTGATACTCCTTATGCATAACAGTGTTCACTTTGGACATAATTCGATCGCAGTCGCTAGAATTTCTCAATTTGGAGTGAACTAATAGTCACTTTTCAAAACGTGCGCAAAAATGTATCCCGGTATGACAATACCTTTAATTAACGTATAGCTAAAGTAATGTAGTCTGTTACAGCATGTATATACAGATCACATTAAGAAATATCAATGTCTGGCAGCTGGGTGGATTTATTTAATGATACAATAGAAGTTGTCAATTTAAATACATAAAACCATTTACCATGATAAAACAGTTGTGATGTAAGACACGAAACTCTTCCAAAAAGAAGACGTTGACTTCTGAGACACAATGCTGATTCGACCACTTTTTTAACGTCAACACGTCTGGTCAGACGTTTGCCATCGCCAACGAAACTTCGCATCGTTTGAAAAAGTTCGTACCATGCAATATGTGTTATTTAGTTGTCATGCGGTGAATAGTTGAGAGATCAGTATTGAATTAAATAAGTGCGTTGACAAGAAAAACCTTCAAGTTTTGCTGAAATTTCACTTGTGGATGGCAATAATCCCAGCTGAATGAAACTGTTCATAGTATAAAGAGTTAGTCGTGACTATACCACATAACATAGTGATCTCGGCGCTGAAGCGTAGGCCTGGCGTGGCCTGTCGCCGATTCTTTTCCTTTTCGTGCCTTGTTCACAAAAGATCTAAAATCATGTCATTTGACCGGATCTTTTCATGACTGACGATAGTTTAAAGTAGCTACTCGACTTCTGAGTTCGATATGGTGCTAGGCATTTCAAATCTGAACATATATTTTTCCATAGCTTTATCTAGTCTTTTCTTGAACGCGTTCATGCTTGGAGCGCCAACGATGTCATCGGGGAGGAAACTCTTTACCCCAATAGAAGAAATTGCAGTCGCCAGTGTGCTTGTAGCACTCTTGATGGCCTACATGGATGTTTGTACCATTAAAGTCTTGTCGACAATAACTGCCTCACCGCGCAGTCTGATCTATGCTCAGCTTCACGACTACTTGGTTCCTAATTAGGTTAACCGCAAATTTTGTTATATGCCTTAAACTGTCGAAAGTGGCCCGATGTAGCTTACGTTTATTTGATTAGTATGCTACAGAATATGGATAAATGGATTGTAGTTAAATAACTTCGGAATAGCTTCATGGAAAAACATATTCTTAGAAGTCGAGGTGTCTTTTTTACTCTAAAGTAATTCCTTCTTTGTTACTGTATTCTTAGTGGCCTAACAAGGTCAACTGTAGACGAGCATTTACATAGACAAGTTATTGAATGCTACTTGCTGTTGAAGCGTCACTGATTCTGATGATTTCTAAGATGTTTCATCCCACAGAGCTACAACCATGCCTGTCGATCGCGGGGTCATTCGCAGTATTATTAGAAAATTCATCGGCTTCCTGAAATGGTGGTTTATCGCTTTTGTTTTCATTGTTGTAATCTCTCTTCTACCTCGTAAGTAGACTCCTAGGTTTTGAAACTGGAAATTAATTGCTGTTGAATTTGAATTATCAGACCAATCATTTGAGGCCAAACTCTTGTGGTATCAGCAAGAATTGAATTGTAGGTCTATTATTGATCTGACAATATCTGTACCTAACCATAAACAGTTCATTTCTTAATTTCATGATTAAATCCTTCGTCCATGCTATGGCACGCTGGCTAGTGACTATTGAAGTGTGAACCATAGGAATGAAATCAAATTTATAATGGATTGGTGCTGATTTCTTAGAATTTATAGTTAATTTTGCTTTGTTACTCAAACTCTGTGACGGAACAAGCCTCGTCACATTTTGCCCCCCTCCCCCCGAGAATTCCAAAAAAAATTATTGTAATCTCAGTTGAAATGATATGCACATGCCACATTGTTATCTAATTACTTGAATTCATTTGTGTTAAATATTTAAATTAATGTGCAGCGCATCTGGGACGAGCAGTCCACGTGTCTTTCGCAACCATCCTCACAGGAGGTCCTATAGTTTATCTTCTTGTTCAACTGGATCTGTTAACCCATTTGCGTGGCCAAAATGCTGCCGTTCGAAGAGCTAGAAGGCAACCACAAGAGGAAGAACCAAGAGCAACGCCTCCCCTCCGGAGAAGAATCCGGAGCTGTGAACGTGGCTTATGAAGGTTCAAATGAAACGGTCCGAGCAACCTATGCATTGCCAAGCAATTTCTTAACGCCCTTATCCACTTCAACGTCTCGTGATAGAGACGACGCTGTTGCCTCCTCCACTACCACCAAAACTGAGGCTGGTACGGAAAAGGAAGCATATTCAATTAGCAGAGAAGGAAGTAGACATAGTAATTTTTATTCTAGATCTGCGTTGGAAGGACCTCTTCGAAAGGAAAGAACGCAATGTAACATTTTGATCTCCAATGAACCTTCCGATGCAAGTGGATTGGGTGAGGTACCGATGGACTCCTGCAGAACATAGCATGGAGTCGGGAGAGTTAACGGACGAAAAATGTTAAAATGGCGAGCAGTCTATTAGAGCTGGTGCATCAATGAACCGAGTTATTAGCGACGAAATATTTTGTTGAGATTTAGCTCAGTTGATAAGGATGTTAAGGGAAATTATCGTGGGGTAAGCCTTTTAGCTGCTTAACGACATTAGGAAACAGTTGTGCAACTATTAGATTATAATAGAAAACTTTGCGTTTTAAGGTGATGGTTGAAACGGTTCGTAGTTGGCAAGAAGTATTTATTAGAATGTTTTTAGATTAAGAAATTTTCTTTTAGAGTCGCTCTTTAAATTGTTGACCATTCTTTTAAACTATATATCAATGCTTCCGTTTAGCCAAATTTTATACTTTTAATATCAGAATGGCCTAATATTTTTATCATGACTTCACACCAGAAATAACTGACGCGGTAGATCATTTAGTTTTCAAAAGAATGTCCTGCTTTTCATTTAGCTAAACGAGATTTTAATTAAATGTTCACATATGTTGCACAGTATTTCATCCCCTTTTGTCAACGATCAGATTATTGGAGCTGAGTAAGTGGCAGGAAAATTGTAATTGATATCGGCAACGGTTTCACAGCATCACAGTTCATAGAACAGCTAGTAGCAGAAAACGCGTTCACTGAATAATCAACCTGAGCCGCCAAGCGAAAATAAAAATTAGATTTTTTTGCATCGAATTTTTCAAGAATCTTGAGAGTTATAATGAATAAGAGACTTTAACCAAGATATGGTTGAGTTAGTGGTAACAGAACTCCGAGGTGCTCTCCTAGCGCACCAGTAAAGACCCTTTAACACAGGGCGGCAATTACTGCCAACGTCCGACGGTATTTACCGCCGTACCTCGCCGGACATGCAAAATGTGCACTGCTATTCACACACGACGGAGGATTTTAACGCGGAGTAGAATTTGACGCCTGATGCCTGCGTGAGAACTGCGGCGGTAGATTTGCCGCAGCAGTTTGGCTTGCTATGGGATTCAATGTAATCTTTCACATTATATGTAATATATGTATAGGCGGTTTTTCACGCCACAAGCAATTCAAACTCACACCTGCCGGGGAGGTTCGCGGAAGTCGATGTGAAGCTGAATTTATTCACAGCACTAATTCAGAAAGATCGTACCTTTTCATCGTTGACAACATCGCTTTATAACGGAGGAATCGAAAGATTCCTTTCAAAAAGTCACTAACGCTAGGCCCACTTGAGTTAGTTTTCCGTATTTTGTTTAGACCAGTGGTTCCCAAACTTTTTCAGGCTGGCGCCCCCTTTGGCTCCCGATTGAATTTCTAGCGCCACCCCCCCCCCCCACAGAAAGATATAAAAACATACGCCTCCTTCTTGAAATTTAGTACGCTGCAATTTTAAAAGATAAAGGGTAAACACAATTGTTTGTTTCACAAATAGAACCCCATTTAGTGAACTAATATGTTTTTCAGCTGTTTTAACTGTTTCAGCAGTTGAACACTAGAAAACAAAGGCGTCTCGGGCAAATATACGGCCCGACTCGTGGCCGGTCTTACGACCAATCTCCAAATTCAATTATTAAGCAATATCTCCCAAACTAATGAACGCAACTCTCTGAAACTTAGAACACGTATTCATCAGAACATAACGTTGATGTTTAGCACGTGAAAAAATGTTTAACTTTCACCTTCATTCGTTAAGGTGCTTATACACGTGGCTATTAGTTGCGTATATTGGTTACGTCTACCTGGCCTTTAGCCCGCCAGTATACCGAAAACGCTATACTCGTGTATAGGCTCTCAGCCTGCAAAACTGTAGTATACGCAACCAATATACGCAGCTAATAGCCCTGTGTATAAGCACCTTTAGTTATATTGCGATACAGGCTGAAATTCGCAGTGATCAAAGAATTTCTTCCAAACTACTGAACAGATTTGAACGAAATTTTGAACATACATTCCTAACTACCAAACGGTGATTTTTTAGCTTCTAAAAAATTTTTATTTCACCTGCGTTTGCGAGTTTTTTTTCCATTTCACCGTCATTCTTGATTTCACACTTCCTTATATTCGGCCCGTATCGCCGGGAAATTTGTCGCTTAAATTCTTTGCGATCAAAAAATTTCTTCTAAACTACTGAACAGATTTCAACGAAACTTTGTATATAAATGCCTAACCTCCTAACGGTGATGTTTAGCTCGCGACAATTTTTCTATTTGCTTTCGTTCGCGAGTTATACAGATATAGGAGAAACGACCGGCTTTTCTACCTGCCGGTTCAACCAAGAGCCGTTTACGTATAGCTGTATACGTATAGCCGTATAACTCACAAACGAAGGCAAAATCGAAAAAAATTGTAACGAGATAAGCATCATCGCTGCAGAGGTTAGGTATTTAAATACTAAGTTTCGTTCAAATCTGCTCAGTAGTTTGGAAGAAATTTTTTGATTACTGCGAATTCAAGCACGTATTGCTGTTTAAATTACGAATGAAGGTGAAATGAAAAAAAATGCGAACGAAGGCACAATCGAAAAAATTTTCATGAGCTAAACATTACCGTTCGGTAGTTAAAACTGTAAATTCAAAATTTCGTTTGAATCTGTTCAGTAAGTTGGAAGAAATTCCTTAATGACTGTGAATTTTAGCCGTATTGCCATATAACTTAAAGAAAAACAAATTATGGCAAAAGTCAAATAATTTTCAAGAGCTAAACATTACCGTTAGGTCCTAATGAATACGTGTATCAAATTTCATCGAGTTAAGTTCATTAGTTTGAGAGATATTCCTTGATCATTGAATTTGGAAATTGGCCGCGAGTCCGGCCGTTAATTTGTCTGAGACGTAAACCCAGGAGAGGTAAAAAAAACAGATCTGGGTAAAAACCATCGCTGGGAGTCGTGTACGCTGCACGTGTTGTGTACAAATCGGCAAACGTTCGAACTTCTGACATCTACTTCGGGCTACCGCCCCCCTACGGTCCTTTTCTTCCTTACCGCCCCCCAAAATCTTTCCACCGCACCTAAGGGGGCGATATCGCCCACTTGGTTTAGACTTTACAACGAGAAACGTGCGGTCGGACGAAAGTGCGTGAGTGTTGGCGTCGGCTACTGGGTTAGCCGTCCCGGCGGCGCTTCGTCTCGCTTTTTAGCGAATTTTCTCATTTTTGGAAAAAGGGCGCTATTGTGCTCGTCATGTCCGTCCGTCCGTGACTTCAAGTTTTCGTCGACGAGAAAATGCGCTCTCTGTAACTCACTGCAGTGAGTACAGTATTATATTTTTTTCTTTAGTCCTTTTGAACGCATCACAATTAGGATAAACTATAGTATTTAATTAAATAGGTACGTTGAAAGAAAGAACTTTCACGTTTTGCTGAAATTCTACTTGTGGATGGTAATAATCCCAGCTGAATGAATCTGTTCTGAGTATGAAGAGTTAGCCGTGACCATACAAGAAACTCTTTACTTTAATAGAAAAAGCTGCGGTCGTCAGTGTGCTAGTAGTCCTCTTGATGGCCTACGAGAGTGTTCGTCCAAAAGTCTTGTCGAAAATAACTCTGCTATACTGCTCAGTCTGCTCTATGCGTAGCTTCACGACTACTGTGTTCCTAATTAGGTTAACAGCTAATTTTGTTAGATGCCTTGAAGTTAATGTTGAACGTGGCCCGATATCGTTAGTGTATGATTATTTGCTTTGTAATCTACAGAATCAGAATAAATGGGTTATAGTTCGATAACTGCAGAATAGCTGCGTGGAATAACGTATTATTAGTGGCCACGGTCGTTTTAAATTCCGTAGTTATTCTTTGTTATTTTATTCTTTATGGGCAAACAAGGTCAACGGTAGGCAAGCATTTATTTAGACACGTTCTTAAAATGTACGCATGTTGCTGCTGAACAGTAACTAATGTCTAATTTTGATGATTTCTAAGAACTTGTTTCATCCCACAGAGCTACAACCATGCCTGTCGACTGCGGTGTCATTCCCAATAGTCGAGTAGTACTCTACTGCTGCCTCATATGCTGGATTATAGCTTTGTTCAGCATTGTTGGAATCGCTCTTCTACCTCGTAAGTAAACGCTTAGGCTTTGAACATGGAAATGAATTGTAATTAAAAGATCAGTTCAATCCTTCAAGGCCAAACTCTATGTAAGTTACATCCCACCTCCACGATATGACGCACCGGTTAGTGACGATTGAAGTGTTAAGCTGGAAGAATGAAATTAAATCAAAATTTATAGTTGAATTTGCTTTATTTGCTTTCTTATTCAAGCCTTTTTGGCGGAACATGCCCCATCACATTTTGCATCCCGGGCGCGTTTCGTGGAACTGTTAATATAAAAAAAATACTTAAAATCTCGTGGTGTAATTTTATCCAAATGCCATATTGTTGTCTAATTAATGAAATTCGTTTGACTTGAATATTTAAATCAATGTGCAGCGCATCTTGGGCGTACATACCTCGTGTTTTTTGCAACCATCTTCACAGGAGGTCCTATAATTTTTCTTTTTATTCGACTGGATCTGATAACCCACTTGCGTGTCAAAATTTCTGCCGTGCGAAGAGCTAGAAGGCAACCACAAGAGGAAGAACCAAGAACAACGCCTCCTCTTGGAGAACCCTGCGGAGTGGTGAACATGGCTTACGAAAGGGGTTCTGATGAAACAGTCCGTGCTACGTATGCATTGCCAAGCAATTTCTCGCCGCCCCAATCTGTTACAACGTCCCGCGGAAGAGACGACGTTGTTGCCTCCACTACCACCAGAACTGAGGCTGGTACGGAATAGGAAGCATATTCGATTAGGAGAGAAGGAAGTACACAAGGCAAGTTCTATTCCAGATCCGTGTTGGAAGGAAGGACATTTTCGAAAGGAAAGAGCATCGTGTTACATTTGTGATCACCAATAAATTTGCCGATGAAAGTGGATTGGGAGAGGTATCGATAGACTCGGTAGCTCCTGCCGAACATAGCCTGGCAGTCGGGAGAGTAAACTGCTGAAGAATGTGTAGAGGGCGAGCAGTCTATTAGAGCTTGTGCGAAATATTTTGGGGAGCTTTAGCATAGTTAATATAGATTTTGAGGGTAATGGGGTAAGCGTTTTAGCTGCTTAAGCTCGTTAAGAAACAGTTGTGCAACTATGGGATAATGATGGAAAATCTATGCGTTTTAATATATTGGTTTAAACGGTTCCTGGAAATTAGAATGTTCATCGATTAGAACTTTTTCTTGAGAAGTTACCCCATAAAATTGTAATCAATCATTTTAAACAGATATTATGCTTCCATTTAACCTAATTTTATACTTTTAATATCAGAATAGCCTAATATTTATATAACGACTTCCCACCAGAAATAACTGATGCGGTAAATCTTTCATTTTTCAAAAGAATGCCTTACTTCTTATTTAGCAAAACAAGATTTTAATTAAATGTTTGCATATGTTTCACAGTATTTCATTCAAGTTTGTCAACGATCGGATTATTGGATCTGAGTAGCAGGAAAATGGTAATTGATAACGGCAACACGGCAACATGGCTGAGAAAGTAGCAGGAAAATGGTAATTGATAACGGCAACATGTGGAACAGCCTCCCTGATGGCATCGTTGACGCTCCGAGTATGAACATCTTCAAAAACAGACTAGACGAAGCTATGCAGGAGCATATGTCCAGTCTTAAAATTCCCAGCAAATTACGGACCAGGCAATAAGTCCAGCAGCTATCTCAATCAATCGTCAGCTATGGAAAGATCGGGTTCCAAAGGCCGGATCCCTTGCGAATCAAGTCACGAAAAGTTCAAGAATCGGCAACAGGCCATGGGCCCATTTCTTCAACGCCGACACTTCTATTCTATTCTAACGGTTTCACAGCATCACAGTTCATAGAACAGCTAGTAGCAGAAAACGCGTTTACTGAATGATCAACCTGAGCCGCCGAGTGAGAATAAAAATGTTTTTTTTTCATAGATTTTTTCAAGAATCTTGAGTTATGATGAATAAGAGACATATACCAAGATATGGTTGAGTTAGTGGTAACAAAACTCTGAGGTGCTATTCTAGCGTACCAGTAAAGCCCTTTTCACACAGGGCGGCAATTACTGCCAGCGTCCGACGGTATTTACCGCCGAACCTCGCCGGACATACAAAATGTACACTGCTATTCACACACGACGGAAAGTTTTAACGCGGCGTAGAATTTGACTCCCGATGCCTGCGTGTGAACTGCTGCGGTGGATTCGCCGCAACAGTTTAGCTTGCTATGGTATTCAATGTAATCTTTCACTTTACCGTATATGTAATAATGTATATATAGGCGGTTTTTCACGGCAGTAGCGATTCAAACTCACACCTGCAGAGGAGGTTCGCGGAAGTCGACGTGAAGCTGAATTTATTCAAGCACTAATTCGGAACAATCGTAAATTTTTATCGTTGACAACATCGCTTTATAACGGAGGAATCGAAAGATTCCTCTCAAAAAGTCACTAACGCTAGGCCCCCTTGAGTTAATTTTCCGAATTTTGTTTAGACTTTACAACGAGAAACGTGCGGTCGGACGAAAGTGCGTGAGCGTTGTCGTCGGCTACTGGGTTAGCCGTCCCGGCGGCGCTTCGTTTCGCTTTTTAGAGCATTTTCTCATTTTTGGAAAAAAGGCGCTATTGTGCTCGTCATGTCCGTCCGTCTGTCTGTCCGTCTGTCTGTCCTTCTGTCTGTCCGTCTGTCTGTGCTTCAGTCTGTCCGTCTGTCTGTCCTGTCTGTCCGTAAATTCAAGTTTTCGTCGACGAGAAAATGCGCTCTCTGTCACTCACTGCAGTGAGTACTGAGTTATATTTTTTTTCTTTAGTCCTTTTGAACGCATCATTATTAGGAGGATAAACTACCAATTCGACAAAAGTGCGTGATAACGTGGGCCATCCCGGTTCGGCACGCGCTTGCCCCATCCATTCAATTCGCAGCTAATAATTATGATATGAAATACACACACTCTTAATGCCCATGCGCTTTGGGGAGAATATTTCTTACATTTTTACTCAAGTTACGATAAACTAATACAGTCACATTTCCAAACTTGCAAAAATTTTATTCTCCCAATAAGACAATGCCGTTAAAACAGTCAATTGAAATCAGTTAAAAAAATCATAGCTCATGTTAAGAAATTATGTTAAGAAATTATCAAATGCTTGCAGCAGCGTTGATCTATCATAATTGATTCAAAATTATTTATCAATTTAAAAATAAAAACAATTTATTACGGTTGGAATATGAAACGGCAAGCTCTTCTAAAAAGAAAAAGTTGACTCCAATGACATAGTGCTCAAGCATCGTTTTGACGGCTTGTCAGACGGATTTCATCTCAAAGAAATCTTCGAATCTTCAGAAAAAGTCAGTATTGTGTAATATGCGTTATATTGGAGCATGGGTAAAATATCGAGGCTAGTATATTAAATTTATCGAATGCTTTGAATTTAATGAACTTTACGTAATGCTATTGCTACCTCTCGTGGATGTTAGTCAGTTGCAAACCACGCTAAAGTAGTATTAGTGTGTAGAATGAGTCGAGTCTAGACCAACTCTTTTAAGTTTAACCTAACAGAAAGGCTAACGGTCGACAGTTTGCTTGAAGCTCTCCTGAATTCCATAGTGGGTGTGAACTGAAGTCTCGTCGTAAATAACTCTGAATATTCGCGGTCTCACCGTTACCCGGCTCGTAATTAGCTTAACGCGCAAAGCTTTTGGGCGATTTCAAGTTAATGACAGTGGCCCGATATAGTGACTGAAAGTTTGTTATGCTATTTAATTAGGCTAAATGGTTCCCATTTCAATAACTTCGAAATTGCTTATGTTTAGGATATTCTCTGGTAAAGAGCGCGCATTTTTATAAATTTTTGCGTGGTTACCAAAGATCAACTGCAGACAAACCTTTTTTACACGTTCTTAAAATGCATGCTTCTTGCTGATGAAGCGTCTCGCCGTCACTGCTTCAGATGCTTTTGAGGAATACTTTTCATCCGACAGAACTACAACCATGCCTTTAAATGTGCGGGTGCTTGCGTCTACCCGAGTAATCCTCTGCTGCTTCGTATGCTGGACTACAGCTATCCTGATCATCGTTGGAGTCGCTCGACCCGCTTGTAAGTAGAAGCTTTCATTTTGCAGCTTTAAATGGATGGGACTTCAATAATCGACCAAACTATTTCAGGCCGTAACTTTAAAATAACTAGGATTTCGTCCTTTCCTGCTTACGCCTCTGGTTCACGAAATGACGCGCACGGTGGGTGACTATTGAAACGTGAAGGAGAGATAGGAATTAAATTAAATTTATGACCAATTGCAAGGTAGACTTTAGAAAACTGGATAGTTAAAATTGCATTTTGTATTCCAACGACTTCGACGGGTGAGGCTTTTACCTTTTATGTTGTGGGTGCGTTTAGCATGAACTGTTGATATCGGATTATACTTGTGATCTCGGTCGAAAGTATAGGAACATACCATATTGCTATATAGTTACTTGCATTCATATGTGTGAAACCCTTGAATGAATGTGCAGGGCATGTGGCGCAAGGATTCCTTCCGTTTTTGGCAGCAATCTTCATAGGAGGTCCTTTAGTTTTTATTGCTATCAGATTGGACCTGTTAGCCCTCATTCAGGATAAAATTGATGCCGTTCGAGAAGCTAGAAGGCAGCCACAAGAGGAAGAAGTAAGAACGACTCGGATTAAAGAATCCTACGGGCTGAGAACGGGAATCCTCGGATTAAAGAATCCTACGGCTGAGTACTTAACTTTTGAAGCTGGTGCAGATGAAACTGCCTATGAAGTGCCAAGAGAATTCGCACCGCCTATACCGGCTCCAACATATCCGCACAAAGACGATGCAATTACCGCAACCAGAGCCGAGGCTAGAACGGAATATCCGGCATGTATGGGTAGCGGAAAAGACAGTAGAAAAACAGAGTTTAATTTATCGAACTTGGCTAATGAAAAAGGTTCAGCCGGACCTGCCTATGATGTTCCGAGAGAGTTTGCACCGCCCGTACTCCCTATTAAGTCCCAGCACAAAACTAACCCTGTTGCCTCCACAAGTACCGTCCGACCTGAGGCTAGTAGTGGACCGGGAGCATGTAAAGGTACCAAAGAAGAAAATAGACCAACTGAGTTTCATTTCAGGCCCGTGTTTGAGGGACCGCTTACAAAGGAAAATAAAGAGAAGCCACGAGAGACAGTTGAGCAGAGTTTAGCTTGCCAATCAAGTGTGGCTTTCGACGGTCATCGTATAGCTTTCGACGGGCATCGCGTAAAAATTCTCATCGAAACGAAACCTGCAGCTGAAACTGGATTACCGAAGGTACCGATTGACTCGGGAGCTACAGCTGAGCAGACTCCCAAGGGGTAGTCGAGAGATTGAAGTGCATCGTAATGGAAGGACAGCGAATAGGCCATTCCGGCATGTGCAAGAGAAAAATCACTTGTTATCGGTGGCGAAATATTTTATTCTTTTTAGCTTCGACTTGATGAAGAATTTATCAGTCGCCAAGATTTTTAGCTGCTTGAGCTCATAATCAACAATATTAACAATAAGATTATGATGTAAAATAGTGTATGCGTTTCGATGATTTATGTGGAACTATTGAAAGTCGGCATAGGGAATTATTAGAAAAAGTTATAACTTGGACGTTTTTCTTGAATAGTTGCCCTTTATATTTTTTAAATAATTAATTTTGAATCAAAGCTAATGTCTATGCTTCCATTCAACATAATTTTTTAAATTTAATATCAGGTTTACCTAATATTTCTATCATGACTTCAGTAAGGATAACTGGCGAGGAAAATGTGTACAAAAATCTTTATCTTTTTATTTAGTAGGTTAAGATTTTTTATTAAATAAAGCCTAGTCTTTTATCCCAGTTTGTCAATTATCCGAATGTTAGAGCTCGAAAATAGAAGGAAAACTTAAAGTCAACGGTTTAGCATAGAACAGCCATGAGAAGACTACATGTTTACGGAATGAATGACACGAGTCGTCAAGCGAGAATAAACAAGGAAGGGAAAGTAGATTGCTTTGAAAAATTCTAGGCTCTGATGAATATATTTCTCATGGCCAACTGCGATTTGGTTGCCAGCAGTGTGAAAATTCTGTTAGACGTATAGTCTTTGTGTACCAGTATCGTTATGCTGGGGCAGTTAATGTGGTAGACGAACACATTTTAATTGAAGAATTCTAATTAAGTAATTAATTTTTACCGCTTACTGCAATGTCATCTGGTATCAAATAGCAATTTTCGTCGCTCGTCACTCACTTTCTTACGGCTGGTCAGTATAAATTAAACAAGGTACTCGGCCTGTAATATGGATTTAGAAATGGAAGTTGGCTAACACTTGAAGTTGATTTGTACACACGCAGAAAATGAATGCGTCAAATTATCCAAATTATGACGCTTTACATCATACGTATGCTGAAACGCTCCTTTTATCTGCACATACTTTGTTTGAAATTGTGACCAGGCCAAAATGTGAATCATTATTTGTGCCAAGTTTCGCTAATTAATCCGCAATTTAGTGGTTTTCGGTGATGCATAGGGACTGTACAGGAGCTAAGATCGAGTGGTGCTATCGATCGCCGTAAATTTGGAACTACTTGGTTCGGGTATGATCGAGCGATGACTTTTGAAACATTAAAGCACTTTCCGTCGAGCGTTCAAAGCGGAACTTTAAACCACGTAGAGTTTCCAGTTCAGCAAAAGATTTGCTATTCTGAGGATCCGAAAGCATGCTTTGTTCGAAACTCGTCAACTACGCAGATCCTACGTTGCCATAGAATTCACAAATTCATCTGGCCAAACCGAATTTTACAATTTTCCCTATGTGCTTGCGAATTATCTTACTTTTATGGTTGCAATTAGATAACATTCAGTGAATGGAGCTAATATAAAACATTTTGATGGCATGTAAATGCTTACTGTAGTTTTATTCAAAATGGTAAGCGACCTTCCGTGTTACAACAGTACGTTCTCATCTCTCTTAAAATCTATACAAATTGAAATTTTAAGATTACCTAGAAATTAACTTTGAGCCACCCACTTTCGTCGCTAATAGCTCATCTCTTATCGGCTGCTGTGCTTGTAAAGATTGGCTAAGCTCACAATTTAAGACAATTTTCTGCTGTGTCATAAACGCACAGCTGCCTGGGCAAGAAAGCTACCTCAGGAAACTGTGTTAATCAAGAGCACAATGATTTGGAACGATCGAACTTCATATTCTTTAAAAACATCGCTTTAAAACAGAGGAATCTAGAGTTAGTGGTCATTTGAATGATCATAAACGACAGGTGCACTACCTAGTTAGTTTTCCAAAATTTAGTGGTTTTGACTCTAACGAGAAACGCGGTTTGACCGACTAATTGAGGATGATGCGAACAGGCACGATGTTGCCAGGTTATATTTTTTCTAGCTCTCATATAGTACAGGATAAAGATAGCGCTGAATCTACTTTTCATCGTCAAGAAGAGAGTTGAAATCCAACTCAAACTTTTGTGTAAGTGATGAAATTTCAAGTTCGTAGACGTGACATAACAAAATGTTCTCGGAATCTCATCCATGAATGGCCTCACGCTCTCAAGTTTTTAAAATTTCCACTCCCCATTCAAAACATAATATAAAGTAATAACTATATTCCTCTCGTGTACGGAAGGTAGATTTTTTCTCCGTACACCAAATCCACTTGTGAAAAAAATAAACAATAGCTAGGCAAGAGTATCAGGATGAGTAAAACTACGATAGTTACAATATTCATGAAAAATCAACAATCGTTCAGCTCAATTCAAATTAATTCTAACGCTTGACTAATGTGGTCGCTTTTTAGGTATACAACCGTCGTGCATAAATAGGGGCAGATAAATACGCAGAACTATCATTTGGAAAATCCGTCAACAGTGTTAAGTTACCAACAAATGCACTTCATGTTAAGCATTAAAACAACGTGATACGAAAGCTAAAAGGAGGCATAGCTATCGACGAAAATGATTACTCGAAAGTTAGAGTTTTTAAAGCATTTAATCGATTTATATCTCTTAAGATTTTGAACAACTCCATAAAAATTCTCAAAACATTTATTTACTCTAAAATTGTGCACTTAATAGACTTTCATTGAAAAAGATTTCAGCTTCGAAAGTGAAACGCCTTTATAATAAGCACCACAAAGCAAGGTGCATTCGTATGTAAAGCTGCTGCCATTAACGAAGCTAGGTGCTGTTATTAATGACCGCTGAATAAGTTCAAGCAATCTAATATCATAACGTACCAGCAAGTTTTTTCGTGTACTGGATAAACTACTCTAAACCAGCAGTCTTTGCCTCTCTCTCGAGCAATATATAAGTCAGTTTTGTTCCCGACGTATCGCTGCTTCAACTGTTGTCGTTGAATGCTACTTGATGAGAGGTACTTTCAGCCAACTCCTCTGTTTCTTTAAATCGATCTTGCCACTCATTTTCACCTTCATACGATACTTCAGGAATAGAAGCTAAAATACGTGAATTTTTCCGGGCGCGAGTCGGGCTGAATGAGTTCAATGTGCACTTTGTATTCTTTGCCTCATTTTTATGAACAGATACAGGTAGGCTCACTGACGATGAGCTTGTAAGTCTAGTAGAAACGAGCGCTCCAGGTCGCTGCCTATTCTGGAAACTGGGAACCAAAGGGGAGTTTGAAGAAAATTTACGATGTCCAGATTTAGCATTAACCTGAGACGCCACTACTGGAGTTCTGTCCTCGTAAAGTAAATAAGTTGAATGCTCTCCAGTAGTTCTCGCAGGCGTTGAGCCAATTGGTTGGTGAAGAGCGGGTTGCCCTTGCATGATGGAACCGTAAGATGGTGATGGAACTCCAAGCAAAGAAGTTGTGGACGCTTCGCTGAACGTGGGATCTCTTCCTTGGATCCCGTTTTGCGTTCCATCCGATGTCGGCTGCTGCTCATTAGGCATTCGTTTAAGCTTTTGTGATCGCATCCAACGCTCATGGAAAGCTCTTTTTATTTTAGCTTGGATTTGATTTACGAGCTTCATGTTCATCAACATTAAAATGAATGGAGCGGCTGCCAGGACGACAGCCCAGAACGTTAGAGTTACTGTCCAGTAATGTGCTGCAAGGAATACAAGAGCTTTATACATTCAAGTTTTGATAAAATTCAAACCGGTAAAACAATAACATTTAAAGTTTTTTCATTATTATTTCATGCACAAGGCAACAGATAATTACCAATTTTCAACTGAGAAATAAAGCTAGGACAAAGAAATTGGTTCGATAAGATAAATTTGTGCCTATAAAGTAGACTTGTATTAAGTAGTAATGCATGAGATCTGCTATATGCTAGCGAAATAATTACTTGTTAGTATAAAATTCTAGGCGAGCAAATAAGTGACGAGAGCGCATAACCCATTGACATAAAAGGTTAATTTGTATGTATTGTGTGAATATTTCATGCTCAGTTGAGTCAATTACAAGGTCCAGATAGATGATAAAATAACTGGTATCCTCTTCTTGCATTGAAACAGGCTATTAATAATAAATAATTGCGTGGCACTGACTTTAATCGGAACTTTAGAATTTATTATTGTACATACGTAATACCAGCAATGTTGGTCAACTCACTGCGAGTGTGGTATGCGAGGTAAGAGCCCATAGCTATGGCTCCGCCCCAAGAAATAACCGTGAATATGATTATCATAATCAATCTTGAGCGCTGCATGGTGGGATGACACTGCGGAAAAAAATTCATCAATTAGCATACTATATAGGCTTTCTATTTATTGTGCTACTGTCGCTATAGATTCCATCCCTGGAGCTCGCTTTGAGCTGGTAATGCTAATGTTTTGAAGAATCTTGGCATAACCTAAAATAAACCAACGTTTCATCGCTGATTCTTATGCGCACAATAAAATGATAGAATACCCCTTGTTGGATTCAGTGGACTAACGTTTCCTAAGCGTATTGGGATCCTGAACAGGAACGGTTTACGACTACAAGTAAAACACATTGTCGGCTAATTTGAAGCTTTGTTAGCCTTTTATTCAACTCAGTGCATTTAAAATGAGAGCATTGAGAAAATTCACATTTTAAATTAAATTGTGGGCCGCTGGAATGCTATGAGTTCCGTGCGGCAACTGCTGCAAAGTGCAAACCAACACCATTGACAGATAACTACAAATCTTTCACGAACCCGAAATTATTTGCCGTCAACAGATTAGGTATCAATGCTCCAAACAGTTTTACTTTCGAATCAAAAAAAGAATTCATCGTCAAAATTTTATCAGCGCTAAAACTTGGGGGTTTGGTAGAGTACCATGAACTTCAACCTTTAAATATTTCGAGATTGGATTGAATGCTTCCCAACATGTCAAATCAAATCCAAGCTTCGAAACGAATATAGGCTAGATGGACTTTGGACTTTGAAATCAGTAGTAAGATGACCACCAATGTCTCAATAAGCAGGACGTCATGCATGACAAATTTGGCATCGCATGCCAACAATAATTGAACTAAAATGGAATATTGCTTCCTTACCCCGTAGTACCCACAGGAAAATAATATTGGCATAAACCAAGCAAACTTAACGGCGCCAAATAATGCACAGTTACGCATAGCACAGCGTTACACTGTAAACTTGCACAAATTAACGAAAACACGGATAAGGAAAATTTTTACCACAACACGAAAAGTGCCAGGGTGTTTACCTAAAGAGATTTTCCGTTTTATTTAGTCTTATTTTCCAAAGTAAAACTAAAAACTACCCGTACAACTCTTCATCCAACTTGATGGGTTCCAATTCCAGTAGTTCATCACCTAGTGTAGTATAGAATTCCAGAACAATAAGCCAAACAGCACAATAACTCACGGTTTTCAATAATATTGGAAGCAATATTTTAAAGTTAAAATTAATTATAATAAAAATTTTTTCTGACAACTGATAGAAACTGCAAACTAAGGTCCATGTACGAACGATTAACCTGGAATGCAATGTTGCCAGATGACCTGAAGAAAACGTGGAATTTAACTTGACGAGTTTTGATTTATACTGGCCACATGTGACAAAATTAACACGCTCCCTCACAGCGAGTTATGAGGCATAACTTTTATAAACTCTCTACCGCCGTATGTCACTCTCCGGGAACATAACTTTCAACTTAAATTGTACGTAAACTATTTAGTGTAGCAACCTGAGGGCGTTTGTACGCTACAGAGAACATTTTAAGGTTGTCGTACGTGGCGGCAACCATCAGTGCAAGCCATCTTGGCTCACATGGAACGTATCCTTTTTGGGAAGGAGGTTTGTGACAATATTGCTCCGGTTACTTATGTCAGGCGGTAATGCGGTATAGCATATAGGGTTAGAATTGGAATGAACGTTACCAAGTATTGCTGGCACCAATGTTTTTTATAGGTATTCATTTTGGGTTCATAGATGTTTACGAGGAAGCTTCTTTTCAATGATTTGTTTTAGTTGGCTGTGTTGTTATACCTTATCATTATGAAACCGTAGATGTGCTGATTCGATAGAATTATTAAGAAGAATGTTATCAAATAAAATAATAAATCAAGTTGATGAAGTTCACAGGAATCACAAGACGCAGTATCCAGGATTCGTCCTGCAGACTTATATCATGACGTGTCAAGCAAATTCATTTTCCTCAAAAATGAATGAACTTTTCTTTGCGATGCAAAAATGATGTTCTTTTGTGTTAAAAAAGTTCCTGAAGAAATTCGATTCATCATTGGAAAAGTGTGCATAATTTTTTCCATAGTTATCTTAATTGGAACATTATTGATGTTTTTCTAATTTACTTACGAAGTGAGATCGAAAATAGCTTTTGTGTTCATCCAGCAGCTTAATTTGGACAAAATCATCGGCGCATGCTTTCTTTCGTCATTGATCATTCAAAGTTTCCAGATATGGACTCATGATTACTTGCAGTGCTACTTTAACCGCTATGTTCTCAATGGACTTCTAGTGCGCAGTGCTGTCTTCTTTTCCAAAGTGGATGCACTTCATGCCCTGATACTGATCCTCTTGGCTCCTGGCATTCTGTTTCTCGACTCGAAAAACGCCAAACTCAAGCACGACTTGCTTGACAATTACACCATATCCTAAATGAGAGACTACCTTAAGAACGGGGACTCGATGAAACTCATTGACTAGCTCCAACAAGAGTACTAATGTTGTGGTTCTATGCAATATCAAGATTGGCCTGTCTTTCTTCGATGGGAAATCGCCTAGGAGGTTTAAGAAGTGCCTTGGTCGTGCTGTAACCCTGTTAGTGAAGTACCGTGCTTGTTTTAAAACATTTCTGCGTACTCCAATGGCGTAAATAAGACCCACGTGGCCGGTATAAACAATCTTCAGAAAGCAATTTTCCAGGAAGGCTGTTCGCTGGTAATGGCCAAGAGAACTTTTGAACTAATGGTCATTGCAGTGCAGTTCATAGCATGTCTCGGTTTCATGCAGGGAGTTCGAGCAATTTTGAATGTTTTCTTCTGTTCATCTGTTGGAAACATTTTGTGGAGTCCTGAACCTCTCACCTCAACTCCTGCTTGGGTCTTTAGTTGGGGAGGAACGGCTTCTGTTCTCCCTGATTTTGAGCTCATCCAAAAACTTGGGCAAGACCGTGTGCCGAGGAAGATCCCAAAGGCGCCCAAGCCTGGAAAATATTACATGAAAGATTCTTAAGAAGAAGCTGACCTGAGGAAGCAGAGAAACAAAGAGCTGAAAAGCATCGCTGCCTAGGCAGCGAAGTCTTGAAGGAAACTTCAGCGAAGTCTTTAGTTTCGAAGTCTTGGAGACTAGTGATAACATTATTTAGTTATGTTAATTAAGTATTACAATGTTGAAGACTCTTACCAAAAAGCAAGCGCATTTATGCCTTTTGATTTATTGGTCATAAATCACTCCTTTTACATGGATTGTATTGCGCTAATAAATCTGCTTCGGATCAAAACATTTCTCTTCGTGTAACAATCGACTGAAAGTGGAAACATTCTTCACTTTCTTTGGTGATACTAAGCTCAATTTTCCAGGCTAGTAAACTAAATGAAATTTTACTCAATAGTGTTCATTTATTGCTACAATATCTCCAGCAACATCTGGTGATTGAGATTGCGCCATCTGCTGTGAGAAAATTTCAACTGATAGATCAAAGAAAGCGAGACCAATTCGTGGAACGACGCAGCTGCAAAAATTTCTACTAGTAATTAAGTTACCTCATCTGTTATAGGAGAAATTCAAAAGTTAACATTTTCTCGTAGAACTGTTGAGCAGCTAGCAAATGGTGCTCTTTGAATCAACGTAATGTAATTGTGTGTGCGTACAAAAAAATTGACATTTCAAAGCGCTTTATATTAAAGTATAGGAACTTTGTGTATATCCATTAAATTATCTTATCAAATATATAGTACAATTTTGAGAGAGTTCATTTGTCCCTATCAAGGAGTTGCCTCTATACCCGCATTCCACGAGACGATGCGGTCACCACAGTTACTGTGAACGAATGATACTAATGAAAATTGATGAGCCAATGAAGAAAATTACATCGGTGACAATAGTGAGGATTATAAACGACCGCGTCGCTGTTGGAGAGAAATGTTTCGCGCAACTCTTGCCCCATTGCTTGTATGACTTCTGGACTGTGTGTGAAATTCTAATTAATTTCAGGTTGCAAATATTTTTTTAAGTCTACAACGATAATTGATACGGAGGTACAATGGCACATCGCATACTTTACAGCTTTTTCGTTCGGGGAAAGAATTTTCTAATCAAATAAATATTATGGCTACAGTTTTTTTTCGTATAATTGATTCGTGTTTTGAATAAATTTACATTTTATTGTTGGTGGATGAAGCGATTTCATATTTGATTTGCAGTAATTTTAAAAATATTCAATATTAATCGAAGAGTTAATTCAAGAGAATGACGAGCGAAAATTATTGAATGATCTGTTAATCATGCCCCTAACGATTCCTTCGATTAAAAAATTAACAGGTCAATGCGAGATAATGAACAAGAATCCATGGCATACGCAAAAAGTAAAGATGACGAGCTCTAGACGGAGACATAATTCGTGTTTTTAGCGCATTTTCTCGGTTATGGGAAAAAACGCTATTGTGCTCTTCATGTCCGTCCGTCCGTCCGTCCGTGACTTCACGGCCTGATCGAGTGGGAAGTTGGTTTGTTTCTTTGGACGGACGGCGGACGAGAAAATGTGCTCTCTGTCACGCACTTCAGTGAGTACTGATCTAATTTTCTTAGTCCTTGAGAGGATAAGGGCTCAGATTAGCCGTCATGAGATTCTATCAGCCATGTTTGAACTAGTTAGTATAAGGTTGACCCATGAGAAGCTCATTTTTGCGGATGTAGTTTGTTGTTCGCCTGTGACGTCACTGATCTCAGTGACGTCACAGGCATTAACCAATCACCGTAATGCGATCAAACCAGTCAACCAATCAGTCATGGGAATAACGGGATTGTTTGTTTCTCGACCCCAGTGACGTATCAAGAAAGATGAACTGAAAGAAGGAAATCCTCGTGGGCCAACCATATATAGTTCAACCATGCTATCAGCAATAGTCGACCAAGCATGGTTGAACCATGGATTCTCGATCTCAGTGACGTATCAAGAAAGATGAACTGAAAGAAGGAAATCCTCATGGGTCAACCTTATATACTTCAACCATGATCAGCAACAGTCGACCAAGCATGGTTGTACCATGGATCCAAAAACGTGTGCTGACTGGCCGGGTCACTGGGGTTCCTTGTAACGGGTCTCCGTGTCGCCCAAACTTGGTCCTCGCGATTTGGCCTCTCAGCCACCTGTCATGCAGGTTATTTTTATCAAGAACTTTCGTCATCAGCAGTACAATATGAGAATTACATTAGTACACAAGTATTTACATTAAATGTTTCAGGCAATAAGTATTTATTATAATGTAAGAAAAGTACAATAATTTTCAGACGGAACCCATGCTTAAGTACCGCGTATAGTTCATAGCTTCACACAAGCTGGAAATCATTGGCAGATGGTGTTTACGTTACTTCGACATCGATCATTAATTTATCATTCCATTCTTGTGCTAGTAGAGGTTTATGATAGTAGCATTGGTCATGATTTGGTGACAATTTTTCATGCCTGAGCAGACGATTTGTGATTAGGTGGGTAGCAGCAAAGGGAAATCTTGAACTAAATGGGAAACTATGCCTTCTACGTCGACGCAGGTCGTAGTCTCGCACTAGTAGAGCGCGCACGGCGGACGGCGCAGTCGCAGACTCGCAGTGTTCAGACAGACGTGCTCCTAGGTGGATGTGTGTGCTAACGGACGCCTTGCTAGCGTGACTTGCCGTGGTGTAATGAATACGCCTAATTTACGTCTTCAAGTATTGCAGTGTGGCAGTAATGACTGAAATATTTATAAATCCTCATGTTCGTATTGTTTAGAAATTCAGTGCAAATGAGCGTAAACTGTAATTAGGGCGATTTAGTTTAAGAATCGCGCATGCGGTTCTATGCTTACTGGGCTCCCAGAGTTATTTAGGCACATCACTGCTCATCCGAAGCTTCTGATGTCGAGAACGTGATCACACAAAGAAGCCGTTGTCCGCCGCCAGATTGTTTAGTATTTATGCTACTATAATGCTAGTATTCGTTTTTGCAATAATACAAATTATTAAAAACTTTCCCCAAAATTACTACTGAAATTGGTACATGTCCTTGTAAACGCATTTAGTCATAAACTTGATTAATGATATTGTGTTCCTCTCTAACTCAAATATTGGCTTTTAATGTTGGTCAAATGGTAATATTTAGGTAAAGAATTGTCACTGTGACCAATCTTGACTAAAAAGGAACTATGTTGCTCAATTTTCTAATGAGAGCAAAGAATTTCGGAAACTTTGAGGAGAAATTGAAATCATTGTCTTTGGTTCTGTTTTGCCAGTATATATACTTGCGAATAA